ACTGATTTACTTGCAACGACAGAATGTTTGGGTATTTTTTCTTTCTCTTTTTCTTTCTACCTTGTTTCGATCACTTAAAATCATACAGACATGAGCCATCAAAATATTTACTACTCTTCCCTCTTATTTGGCTTTTGAGTGTTGTTTTTTTTGTCGTTGTTTTTGTTTTCGTATTTTGTACGTTCCGTTCGGTTTCTCAAGAATCGGTTTTGTCGTCATCATAGCGTTAGCTTTGTGAATGTTTACTGCACATCATCGTTGTGTTATGTTCAGTCTATCGATGCTCACTGAACTGGTTACACAAACTCTCAGTTTCTTAATTCCATTCGATTGCATTTAAACAAAAAGTCGTTTGTTTACAAAGTGAAATTTTCCTTTAAAAGCATCAACTTTCCAAAATAAATAGAAAAAAAAAATAAGTGAAAAAAAAAATTCAGAGGGAACTTTCCCAGTGTTTGAATAGTATTTAATTGGAAGGGACGATTTTGAATATAACAATAGACAAGAAAGCCCATTTTAATTGAATCATAAACAAATTGTATACAATGAGAAACGGAAACGACAACCGATTAAGTCAAAGTCTTGACACAATACCAGAAGAGGGAAATGATTTGCCTCGCATTAGTGAGCTTATACCAAAGTCACCTGAAACTCGGAAACGGGAACAAGAGTATTTGCAACAATTTGAATCGCATAAGCAACACATCAAGGATTTCTACGAAATGTTCATCATGCAACGCAATCTAAAACGAATTTGCCTCAACGATCATTATTCAGCGGGAAATTACGCAGACTATAGAAATGTGAATCGATCTCGTCCAACATCGTCGCCTACAATGTCGACTTGACTAGTTGATAAATATATCCAAACATAGTTTTTTTTTTGGTGCGTCGCAGTGTTGTTTTTTGTTTTTCTCAATAAATGTGTGGTGCCATTTCACTTCATTTACATAATTATTGTTAAAGCAATATAGTGTCGTTGCTTTACTACGCCAGCGATTTATGAATTAAAATGACTCATTTGCTGATTGTACGAAATCAACGTAAACACCAGTGGTTTTGAAGAGAGAAAAAAAAAACATTCATCGCAGTAGAATTCGCGTGAATTTGAAACATCACGTTCCCTGAATTTGAAACGTAATTGATCAACTGGCTTTCGATATCGACTCATCATTCGATGTGACAAATTTGGTGATAGCGGAAAACAACAACAATATCTTGTCCAAATTCAGCCGGAGTCTCTGTTATTATCAGTATTGGCATCGTACTCATTTTTATCGCTTACATATCATACTATATCGATTAGACAAGGTCACGACGTCGTTATAGTTTCTCGAATTAAAAATATAACATACAAAAGAAATTGTTCACATTTTTTTTCTATGAAAAAGCAAGACCTTACCAATTGTCGTTTTAAGTCAACACATATACCAAATATTCGGATGTACATAGTTGTTAAAAAGTTTTAGGCATTACGTGTAAACATAAACTTGTTTTTTTTTAGTATAGACGACATAAACTATGAGCAATCAATTTTTATTGAACACTTTTTGTTTTGTTGTTAAGACAGTTTTTTGTTTGTGTTTTATACCCTTTTCACCTTTATAAATAAAAACAAATACTTTATTACTGTTATATAATTTTGGTTTAATTTAGAAATAAAGAATATTTTTGAAGAAGAACAAACTTTTTTTGACTGGTATTCATTTTTATGTAGCTCTTTTTTTTAGCTCGGACACATTTCAGAAGCAATTTGATCTTCTCGATATTGTTGTTAAACCGTTCCCACCTGTGGATAAGTATTTTTAGAACATCCCAAAAATGTGATCATGAAAATGAAGGATCACAAAAGAGTTTAAAAAAAATCAAAATCTAATTTCATACAATGTCAGACGAAAATAACCGAAATTGGACAATTTTTCATCATCATTACCATACTTTATTCTATATTTATCTATCTTTTTTGGTGTATCGTATACATTTTTCATTATACAGTAGCTATTCTTTCTATTTTTCGTAAGTATAAATCGATTTTGTATATAGGTTTTGTATTCGTTATCTGCTAAGATCTTTGATCAAGTCACGATTGTAAAAGGATATTTTCGTGAACTCAATAGAAATGTTTCAATTAGACTTCTTCTAATAATATTGTTTCAAACAATGCTCTTGCCATAGAAAAGACCTTCTTAGTTAGGATATTTTTGGACTCTTTCTATCATGTGTCTTATAATCTGTGCCACACTTTTTTCATCCGAAAACATGAAATGAAATTCAGTAGAGTAAAATGATTACGTGATGTAGATTGTTTATTCTGAAAATCTTTTGAAATTGAACTAAACATTGAGCCAATATCCCCATTGTTTGGTGAAATAACTGTCTCTATTATTTGTTCACTTGGAGCATATGAAAATATGAATAAATGTCAACAAATCACAACGAAAATTTCATAAAATGGAAGTGTAAGATGGAAAATTCTCCATGTAAACTACATTGTACATTTTTCTGTGCTTTAAATGTTCTTCTTTGCCAAGGTATTTTCTTACGCCTAATCAGTTCTGCTCGAATACCAACGCCGACCGGAAGTTGCGTGTTCGCGGACAATGCACGCAATCACTGTTGTACACTGGTAAATAAAATGAAGTTTGCCTGAAAAAATGTGCCAAAATAAAAAGTGATCAATGGTGTACGTAAGCTACATGCTGTTAGGCAATAGTGATATGCCACGACTTGGACTTACTGCAGAGATGTGACTATTGGAACTAATCACACCACAGATAAGACTTTCTGTTTCTCAGAAAAGGATTCAGTTGAAAAAATCTTGGAATATTTCGACCCGAAGTTGGAATCTATTTTATCAAAGACAAAAAAAAATCCGAGTTTTTCTTTGTAAAACAAACGAAGCTAATAAAAATATAGTTTTATCAATCGTTAAATTCGTTGGGTAAATAGAAACACTTGAATTGAATGACGACGCATTCCCTCTCTATTCTCATATTATGGAATCGATTATACAAAAATGGTGAAACTAACGGCTTTCTCTCACTGTTTTTTTCAAAGCACTTGATACAGTGTGTCCGTTCAGATAGGCATTTAAAAAAACGCCTTGCAGTATTCCATTTGTATGGTGTGGCCAAAAAGGCTATGAATACTGCGAATGAAGTATATATTCAAGTTCGGACTAGGCGAAAAATTTGCAATATACATAGACGTATAGCAAACGATTTATAAAGAAAGGCATAATGAAAGAGACCTTGTGTTTTGTATATTACATTCTATTCGATTTGATTGTTATTATTATTGTAGTGTTTGTAGTGAAATTGCGCAAGTCAAACACTGAAGAAACGGATCAACCGTCTTCATGGTAATTTAAACGATAAAAAAACTCATATAGGTTCACTTGCCGCTCCGCAAACAAAATACACTAGAACAGGGACCGTTCCGTGATTTTCTTTTTCGCTTAATTCCTTTTTCTTTGTTTTGCCATTGCTCAGCCATTCCTAAGTAGAGGTGTGCTTATTCATTGGGATTTTGAACGCGCGTTTTTGGCGTCAAACACCACACAGTTTTCATTTCTTACATACATATATTCACCCAGTTAACCTGGTTTCAGCTGGTGAGATTGAAAAGAAAGCATTTTCGTCCATTGAGAATCATACGAATACGAATCGTGAGACGGTTTAAACGTGAAAAGTGTAATGGATTTAACGAGAGTGAAAATCAAATAGCAACCAGCGAATCACAAGTAACCATGAACGCTAAACATTTTCAGTTTTGGGAACAGAAAGCAAAAGTTTCAACAATATTTTTGTAGGAAAAATAATATTTTCGACATTTTTAAAAGGATTTTTTTTGAATATTTTATTAGAGATAAAATTTGATTAGAATTTTAAGGAAGCAAATGTTGAAACTTATGAGAGAGTTGATTAAATGGAATTTAAGCAAAAAAAAACATCAATAAAAAGTGGTAAGAATTTAATTTAAAAAAACTGATTTGTTCACGATGTGTTGTTGTGCGATTTATTTTTTCAATATTCGATCAAAATGTAGAGTTTTACGTAATGAGTAAACTAAGTGCCTTAAAAATCCAATAAAATGTATCACTATTAGGATTTTCATTATTTATTTTATTTATTTATTTATTCACCGTCTGATCACAGACTGAATTTATCACACAATTTATACAATAATCCTTCACAATGAAACACCACCCGATCGAATATCCAGCTACCAGCCTTTTCGACTTCGGAGTAGCAGATATCGATTGTGTTCACTGTTTTTATTTCTATATAATACATTATGTTGGAAGTTAAATTTTTCAATGGTCAAATATCACATTTTCCAATTTGACAATATTGTTTCTAAAAATGTGTCTTGATGCCGATTCTAAAAATGTTTCTCTTTTCAAGTTTAAGTTTCTACAAGCTACGTAAAACGGCTGATTATGTGCATAATCCGACGAAAATGCCCTAACTCTAATCAGTTCTGAATTTCTCAAATTTCTTTGGTTTTCGTCATATTGCAGTCTTGTATATACAATTTTATTTCTAAGTGAACTAGACACTATTTTACCCAAAAGGAGATCATAAATTAAAAATACAGAGGCATTTATACGCCGTCTCCAAAGCGGTTGAATATTTAACACATTACATCTAAACTGATACGGTGGCAACACAAAATTTTCATCTCTCTGGTAAACAAATCTCAATGTCCATATCACAAAATCTTTTTGAATTGACTCTATTTTATTGGAATGGATACGGTGGTATGGTTGCCATACAATACTCGCGTACTCTAACTTTGATCTTACTAGTGCACAGTATAACATTTTTGCAGATTCAATCGTGAACTTATTCTTTAATGTGCGTTTAATAAAACCCATTGCCCCATGTGCACTGGCTGTAATCGCGTCGATGTGATTGACAAATGTCAGCTTCGTGTCAAATTGGAATGCAATTGATTCAGTGAAAATGTGAAAGATATGTGAAAAAGTTCCAGATTAAACGACAAATAAAAAAGAGTTCGAGTGTGAAGAAAAGTTTCGTTTCGATTGAAGTGTATATAAGTGATGAAAAAAGTAGTGGGTTGAAGTGGAATTATGTCGAAACCGAATCCAAAGCGTGCAGCAAAATCGTCTTCACGAAAAGCAGCCCGTGAAGCCGACCACGATGAATCAACCGATCGAACAACAAGTCGATCGGCCAATCCGAGTGCGTCTCGAACAGCTGCTGATGATCCAAAAGATGAAACTGCCAATGGAGAGAAAAAAGATGGAAAAACTGATGATGCGACGACCGCACCGTCGGAAAAGCCAAAGCCTCAAAGTGCTGGAGCCATAATACGCGATGCAGGCCAAAAATTACTTAGTTTAACGATGAAACAAGAATGGACATCGATCGATACAGTTTTGAAACAACTCGAAAAAATCGTTGCTGCTGGAGGAGGTGAAAATGTGGCACCACTGGCTGGCGTTGCGGATCCGGTGAGTATTTAATCACCGTTGCTATATGTGTCCTTTTAAACGGAAACAACTTATTTTGATTGAATAAATAATATTTTTGTGTGTCATAATTGGATTAAATAACATTTTCGGGGCATATTTTTTTCTTCAACGTATGTGGTCGGCGAGTGGTTGATTCAAGGCGAAACAGAGCGAACAAAAAAAAAACATATTTATAAATGAAATTTTGCATATTCATACACGAACATAAAGATTTGTACCGGAAACTGTAGTTTATTTAGGAACGCGTACAAGCCATTTCTGCAAAGTTCATACCGTTGATATTATTGTGCTAGTGTATTGATTCTAATAAGTATACTGGTCAACTTAAACGCTCATAATTGCTGGCAATGTGACAAAACCTGAAGACCTTAGCGAAAGTGCATTCGGTATCGGTCGTTTCTACGGAATTTATAGGTTCAATATCCTCAGCCTTTGAACCACCACACCAAGTATAACTCGGCACTATTTATAACCATTAAATGCAAAATAATAGTCGCAATCTAAATAGAAAATGATGAATTTAAAACTACAAAATAGGTCAACAATCTTATGCGTCATTTATGTAGACATTTTGAATTGCAATTTTAATTTAAAAATAATTTCTTTATATCAATCGAAAAAATCATTTCTAAGCCGTTCCATTTTGTGAGAGTACTTCGTCTCACACAATTACTGCCTTAACGATATGTTGGTTGTGTTTTGTTCGTTTTGTATCAAATGTTAACCTCAAGCCGCGCATAGACAGACGAAAGAACTTAAGAATAAAGGGAAAGCAACGAACGGAAGAACACTGCAAACATAGTAAAATACATACCATCATTTGGTTTCAACTTATTCTATGACCAACTGTATCACGATAACCCAAATTCCAACGTATTACATCGGTCGGTCGGTCGATTTGGTTGCTGCTTTTGTGAAAAATGGCCTGTCGACAACAAAACGCAAACTGTTCGCTATGCAGAAGTTATATTTTAGTTCAGGCCATAGGCAAATTTTCATCCATTTTTCCAGTAAAATGACTTACCTTTGGCCGAACAATGAGCATTTTGCTTGGCATTATGCTTCTTTGGAATGACAATTGGATTTGAGGATGGTCATTCAGTTTTTGTTTTAAAAATGTTTTTGAACTTTGAGAATTATCTTTAGTTTTTCTCTTTTTCCATACATGGAACAAAATTAAATATCAAATATTATTCAAACGATTTGCAATTCATTTCAAATTTGCAGATATCTGGAATGACTCCTTTAATGTATGCTGTTAAAGACAATCGGACATCGTACTTGGATCGTTTAATTGACTTGGGATCAGATGTTTGCGCACGCAACAATGTATGTTTGTATAATACACATTTTTCATCATTTGATTTATTTATTTTTCTTATCACACAGTCGCAAAATCAGTCATGCATTTTTCAATGGTTCATGGACAACACATTTCTTAGATTTTCTTTCATTTTCAAACTCACCGATTCATTAAAAGTGTCTGAGACTAGTTATGTTTCTTTTTTATTTTTCTGAATTGGTTCATTATCGATTCATATCGGCGGGTATTTGTTTTTCAAAAATGACTTTGATTTCAAACACAAAACAATACTGGATTTCACCGTGACTTTTTCACTTGGTTATGAAAAGTCATCCGCTTTGCGACGAAGCAAAGGAAAGGCGATAAGAGTAATTAAATCCAAAACGCTTCACGCGCTCCAATTTTTCGGCGAATTTCTTCTGTTTCTTATTCCGAAGGGGGTCGTTATTGTGTGCGATTGTAATCATGTAACGCATTTTGTCGCGTCTCGAGCAATAAAAAAACTCAAAAAAACCTAAAAAGACCCTGACCCACTTATATATTTCAAAAACTACCAGCACATGAAATCAAATGAAATTTGGAAATGAAAACTAACCGAAAAATGAAATCGCGTCCAGCTTTTGTTGTAATCTATAGTATGCAAATCACTCTGACATATTCGTGGTGGAAACATAACGAATTTGCCAATATTTCGTTCATTTGCGACGCGGCTGGATTTTATATTTTCACGCGTTGTTCTTCAATTGGAAAAAATGCAAACAGGTGTCGATTGCTTTTGTTTTCTTACCCTCAATCCATTCGTAGCGCGCTCAATAAATAAACAGAGAGTTGAGTGCGATTCAGATTCGTTCGTTCGACTCACATTTTATAGACTTATAGTAATATGTAATTAGCTTTTAGTCACATATTTCATAAGAAAAAAGAAAACTCGGAGCAAAGAAAGAGAGTGATTATTGTATTGACCCATGTTCATATAGAATTTGACCCATTTTTTGCACGCGCCATTTCATTCTTTCGTATAATTTATTTATGTTTCTTTTAATGATTTTTCAGCAACTTTCACTGAATGAAACGCAAACGAAATTTATTTTATTTTGTTTTTGATTTCATTTCATTTAAACACTTTGTGTATTATGTGTGTTGCGCAAGTTATTTTATGACACATGTTCGAAGGTATTGACGTCATAAACGTGCTTGCGACATGAATTTTTTGACATTCAATTCGTTTTTTTCTTGTTTAAATATGCATCAGAAATAGAATGAATGGTCAAGATAACTGAAGCCAGGAAGCATGTTTTAATTGTTGCGTTTTGCATTTTTTTTTTTAATTTATTTTTGGAATTTTGTTCAGTGGCGCACGTTTGGAAAGGAAGCCTTCGAAGTGTTCGGAGTCAAAGGTTAAAACGTAAATTACTATGCACAACATGACTTCGTTTCTATTATATTGTCTGATAAGAAGTGTAGTTTCAGCTTAAAATGCTTCAGTAATTGAAATGTTTGGCGATATAACTACATTTTTTAGCTAGTAGATTTGAGATAAAACTTAAAATCATGAGCGTGTCATGATCAAATCAGCCCGACCAGAGTACGACGATAATTTTCACCTTGAATAGTAATTGCGAAATTAGCTCTGGCCAACATTTTGTGCGATTGACCAGCACAGTGCCTGGCGATGTTTAGGAAAATGAATCAAGGTTATGGTTGCAATTGCAAATGCATTTTGACTCTCACACATTTTATTTCTGTTTTGCGTGGCTCATGTTCAATGAGCTATCAAAATTAAAATCATTTGCAATTTTTCACAAATCAACTTAATTGAAAAAAGATTGGCGGTTCCGCCATTTTTATTGCACAAGGAAAATGATTAAAATAAAAAAAAAACCACACATTTCTCAGACTTAATTCGAAAATAATGGACTCTAATCACATTATGTGTGTTCCTTGAGTGTATGGAACTACCCACAATAGGAAAGGGAGAAAAAAACCTTGTTAAAGGGATTTTGAATTCACATGAATTCCCTAAAAAACATTCAATTCATTTATCATACAAATAACAAATAAATATAACCGCTACCCTCAATGTGAATCGACTGAATTCAACAAATAAATATAGACATGCCATTTTATGAAAATATTCAAAAAGGAAACATTCGCGTGAATCGTAAAACAACAACAACGCAGCTCAGGTTTATTTTCTTCATTCTTCGACGGTTTTATTAGAAGTTTTATGTTTATAGCGAGCCTAATTACAAGCTTGTGTATCATAACATTGCGATGTCCGTTCCACATCAATTAAAAACGTGCATATTAATAATATGCGGCAATGAAATACATGAATGGAATTATACCGTTTTCATGGTATGTGTGCCATTTAACGCAAGAACACTTCAATTATTTCCCGCATTGCTTTTTTATCGTTAAATTTCTTGACTACTGCTGAAGAATGTACATGAATATTTATTACTTGAGATCGCTTGAAAGGATCAAAAAGCAAAATAGAAATAAAATTAATGAACATATGATGAGTTGGAATTTTCAAACACTCATTTTGAACTTAATGGAGGTATATTGGGCGTGCAAAAATGTGTTTGTGTGGAGGTAAAAGAATATTTTTGTTTTGATGAAAACTTAACGAAAATCTTTGTTGTAACTTTGAAAATCGATGTGGTTTTTTGATGATGGAAATGATTTATGGATCAAATGTTGCTTATGAAGAAAAGCAAACCTTTGAAAAACTTATAAACATTATAAGTCACTTTGAACTGGACAAAAGCACTGATTCGAATGAATTATTTCTTACGATAATTCGTGGAGTCAGTGAAACGAAAAAAAGCAATCAAAAACTATTGTTTTAAGTGAGTTTCTATCGAATATTTGTCATAACTTAATTATTAAAACTAAACGCGTACACTAGATTCCACGAACTTCTTTGACTTACAAAGACCTGTTTGAAATGACTAATGATCGTGATCATACCACCAAAAATCGATATCAAAAAAGCTGAATTTCTGAGGCTAAATGTGACCACGAGATGCAATATTTTACCTGAAACAATTTTTTTGTATAGCATAGCAACCGAATTTAGATAGTATCGGTAGTAAAGGCTCCAATACAACAATCGCGTCTCTGCCCAATTATTAGCTCTATTAGTAATTTAAGTTGTAGAAAAATTCATCAAAATATGTTTGGAATAAATTTCATTTATCATAACATCACTATTTTTGGGACCATTTCATTCTATTTGGACATTGTTGAACGAGAAATATTGTGCATCTACTGAGGTTATACAGCAGCGCTTGATAATATGCACCTAGAAAAATCTAGTTTTATTTGTAAATTCCTCTGAATTAATGATATTAAAGTTTGTGTAATCTTCTTTCTTTGCAGGATCATTACAATGTTTTACATGTTGGAGCGATGTATTCAAGAGAAGATGTCGTGAAATTATTGTTGAATAAACGTGGCGTCGATCCATTTTCGACTGGTGGAGTAAGTATACATTTACAAACACAGTCGAATCGATATTCATTGTCTGATGAAACGGCAATATACTCAAAGAATGTAGTGTTTTTTTTTTTGTTCAATGAACTCGAAATTTACATGCCATTCATTGATTGCAAGAGGCAACTACAACATTCATATAAACGAAAAACAACTGCGGAATATACGTTCTGTTTTCTTTTTTCGGTAGCAAAGTCAGAATGAGCAAAGTTAAAAACAATCTTGCTTCGCCAATTTCTACCATAGTAACACCCTAATATTTATACGTCGAAACGTAATTTATGTGTTTACATTCCATAATCCATTTTTGGATATTCCAATGCATATATGCGAGTCGAAGCACAAAATGTATGCCGTTTGTGTGTGTTTCAGTTCTTGGATAAACAGTTGCTATCATATGCATTGAACTCTTCAACACTTATTAGGCCATCCAACGATGATCGTTCTTTTTCGATTCCAAAAGTACACATTAGAGAGTTTTCCACATAAATTCTTATGATATTGCATGCTTTTTTAATTTATTCGAAGGAATAATCAAAAGGAATTTTGCGCTTATTGGTTTATAATCTCAATGAATTCTGATTTAAAACATCGATTGCGTGCTCGATGTTTTCAGCAATAAATGTAATTAAATTTTGCAGCTCATTACGATACATTTTTCTGTTGCAATTCAAGTGAACAACGGAAGTGTTTGCAAATGAAATTGATTGTAAATTCAATGTTTCCGTGATTTTTCAAAGGAATTTCTTCAATTTTTTTTCTCTAATGTTCATAATGTATTGCTCAAATTGATTTCGGAATACTTTTCGGTTAATCACCATACATCAGAATGCATAGTTCGTACTTTGAACTTTGCTTCGATGCACACATGCTGTCTGATTTGCGAAAATTTATTAGCCATTTCGGTAAACCATCAAGAGCGTAATATCGCGAATAAAAGCCGCAAAACTGTCGCTGAAACTCAACTAATATATCAATTTTCTTGCGTTGATCATGAAAATAAATTCGCTTTTGCATTTTGTTATTGTTTGGCATTTGACGGAGATGCGTTTCCAACCACTATTACAACCAACTTTGATAGTAACCTCCACACCATCGCATAAAGTTGTATACGAAGAAGAAGAAGAAGAAGAAAAAGAAGAAAAACGTTTGCGCGCCAAAAGTGGCACGTGAATTAATGTATTAATATGGTGAAAGTGTGTCTTTGGCGCATTAAACACGTATTTGTTTAATGTAGAAGTTTGAGCGACACATACAATAAAATACATATATCTATGTGAATATTTATCACGAAATCGAAATCGTTACATATACGCGGTGTTACTGTAACTGTCATATGCTTTTTCACATAATATGAAATAAGCAATTGTTCATCGAAAATTATGTTCAGCATTTAGTTTTGATTTTCATTTGACGCTTTACACTTGCTCAATCAAACGAATGGAATACAAACGATTCGTTTCGAAGCGATTTTCTTTGGATAGTTCATCAGTAAATGAATTTAAAAGCAAAATAACAGCAATATTTGAAATTACATTTCTGTTATAAAAAGCATAATTTGATTTGCACATATTTAGTCAACGGATTAGAATCTAACAGAAAATTTAGCGGTCACACAATTTTTACTTAAAAAAAATCATTAATTTTAATGTAAACTTTCAGCCAAAACAACAAACGGCCATTCACATCGTGTCCAGTCGGCAGACAGCAACAGCGACAAGTATTTTACGAGTGCTTTTGGCCTCAGCTGGCAAAGATATACGTTTAAAATCCGACGGCGTAAGTATACAGCTTTAAGTCTTTATTTGGTCAAATTAAATGGGATTTTATGTGTGTTTTTTTTTTAACATGACACAAGTGTTGCTCCAAATTAAAAAAGTTTGATGCAGTGATACAAAGTTAATGGTGGCAAAGTTAATCGAAAGTCTGACAGGTGATTAACAATTGTTCGCAGGCCATATTTCATGTCGAAATCCGATTTCATCGCAGTTGTTTTTTGTTTTATTTCATACACTCCATATCAACCGAATTGAAATAGTACACGAAAGTGAAAACTTAATTAAGCTTCGCACCAAACTGATTCTCTTGAGAACGTGACAAGAACGGTGTAAGGAATTTTCAAAAAATAAAGAAGAAAAAAAGTATGTCAGCAAAAAAAAAAAAAACAAAACGAAAGAAGGCACGTAAAATGTTGTGGCTTTATTTATTTTATATGGATTATTATGAATTATTTGTCTCTGTCGCTCTCGTTCCCTCTTATCCTTCAATTGAAAACTGTCAGTGCTGATTTCTCTTGAACAAAGTGCGAATAATAAACAAATGAATGGCATGGCACACATGCAAATGTTTCTTTTTTTGCTCTTCGATTTAAAGAGCGTCGCGTATCAAAAACTATTTCGTTGCATAAACAGCTCGATGTGAATTTGCTAATGGCACCATATCAGTACAAGACACATTTAATACAATATTCTCCTTCTTCGTCTTCAATGTTGACGAAACGCATTGTCGTTCATTCGACACGATTTGCATGTCATATAGTTATAACATTTATTATGTTGATTGTTTCAACGGCTTTTTTTTCTTCGTATTTCAATCTCTTTAAATTGTAATACATTGTTGAATCTAAGCCAATTTCAGTGCAAAATCAGCCACCACTTCGATTTGATCAAATAACAACCCACAAAAACAAATCTATTGACGAAAAAAATGGGAATTATGAACTCGATTTATTCGATATCACGTCGCAAAGTATAAAATTAGGCGAAAAATTGCATTTGGACTATGATTAAAATGTGTTTACAAATGCTTGGAAAATGTGCTTGATCCACAAATTTCCACACACAACAAAAAAAAAATACGAAAGTTTCATTTGCATTCTTGTTTCGGTGAAAATGTTTGGTGGTTACGATGTATGGTTGAACTCGAAATATTTTGTATACCGCTTAACAGTAACCCAATTTCAATAAAAATTCATCCAGAATTCAAGTCAATCCAAACGAAAATGTCGATGGGAAACGCTTTGAGACTCCCAGTTGAATTACATTTGGGAGCTTGAATGTGTTCCGTGATAGAGAATATGGCTCAAACCATACATTATATTAATTCGTTTCGATATATTGTTAACAATTTTATGTCTTTGTATTCGCAAGTGCCTGGTACGAAGTGTGGATTTTATTTGGGTGCAAACAAAATTCTAATCGTATTTCGACAGACAAACATGCACACACTTCTTGATCCTTTTCTCTCTTTCTCGTACTTTCTGTCTCTCTGTCTGTCTCATAAAATCGAATTGAGAACCAATTGTAGTGAGCACGCATGGTGTTGGTGTCTTGATTTGTAACTTTCTCGTGAATTTCAACGGTTTAAAATTGACTCTGATTGGTATATTGTATATATTTTGGTTTTCTTTTGCAATCAGTCGAGAGAAAAAAAAACTTTTCAATTCTAAGGTCTATGCCAAGAATCCCAACGTGTATGTTTATTGAAAATGCACGTGTTTATTATTATAGATTTGAATTTAATTTCAAGAAGGAAAACAATGAATAAAGTCAATATTTCAATGTGAAATTGTTTGAATTCGGTTACAGGGAAGCGCCGCGAAATTAGGTCACAATAGAATGATTTCGAAACAATAATAATTTATTCCAATTTTTTGGCTGTTTGCATTGATTCACCCTGTTTTAGATTTGTGTGTGTGTGAGTTTGTGTTCGATTCAAATCGCTCCCACTTCTTCTTCTCGCTATTCGCGTTTTTGGTTTGCTATCGTTTTTTTATCATTGAATTGCCTAGCACTTAACTCGCAAAGTTTCGAGTTAGATCAATAAATAATAGAATTCATCCTAATCGATTCACTCAGTATTACGTTTTTTTTTTTCAAATGCAAATGAAAATAAAATACAAATCATAGAAATCGAAAATATTGTGATTCGAACATCTAATAGTCAATGTATAGTGTAACATAAGAGAACTTTGGTTTATATATATAAAAAATTGGTTTCGTTAAGCAACTGTTAACATTAAGAGCAATAAAGAATGAGAAATAATTTACCTCATTTATATTTTTGACGTGTGCAGCCATTTGATTTACATTGATCTATTACACCAAATGTCAAACGAAGCAGAAAATCCATAAAATTACTACTCATTCCTTTGACGCCGATGTAAATATAGGCGATTTATTATCCAGACACTTTTTGTTCGTATTCGTCAGTTTGATGGTTGAAAAGAAGTTTGTTAAAAAGACAGAACAAAATAACAAGTTCAGACGCAGAGAGTGATCTACGCACCATCGTTCCAATTCCAAGTGTTTATTTTGCCACAAAACGGTTCCAATCAATTTGGCAGCAACACTTTTTTCAGCTCCTTTGCTAAAGTTGGTTTTTTCTATATATATTTAGTTTTGCAAAGCTTAATACACGTACAATTGAAGTCAATAAAAAAAAGTAACAACAAAAAGGGTCTTCGTCTGCCACCATGCCATGCTTTCACAAGTGATAGCAACCAAACGAACAGAAAAAATATTGCGATAGACAAAACGTGAATGATGATTAACTGAATATTGTTAGAAGCTATTTTCGGTTACGTTTTCAATTGGCTTAGCTGAGCGATAGTTTTTTCTTTTTTTTTTGCATGAGGTAAAATTATGAAAAAAAAAAAACAGATTGATAGAAATTGGTGTGTGTATGTTGTGTATAACAACGTTTGAATATATTTTTGTTGTTCATTTATTTTGACGGGTCTGGATAAACAAAATTTTCAATCAGATTGGAAGACAGTTGAAAAATGTAGCTTAGCGTGAATAGTTGTGTTGCGTTTCACAACACAATTTATATAGATAAAAGATAGCATATCGTAAAAACTAGTTTTAAAATGTCAAAGAGAACAGCGAATTCGCGTCAGAGCATATCAAGTGGAATATCGATACCTGCATCAGTTGAAAATGTTACAACTTTTGAGGAATATTTAACATTGGCCCAAGATCAACCAATGTCATCTGAACAGCACACATCTCAACCACCACAACCACCACCACCAGCTAAAGAGGCGCCAAAAAAATCCTCAAAATATGGCATTCATATTCAACGAAATAAAGAAGCTGTTAAAAAGCATTCCAATAACTTTGTCGAACTGAACAAACAAAAACTGGAGCAACCAAAATACGAACCGCCCGTTGTTGTTCGTACACCAAGTTCGTGGCGTAATTTAATAAAAGGTGTTCTTGATTTACAGCGTGGCAAAATACCATTATTACTGGCTGTTGAAGCTGGTAACCAGTCTATGGTTCGCGAATTATTATCAGCACAAACTGCAGAACAACTGCAAGTGAGTTTTTCCAATATCGAATCGGTGTTGTTACTTCGATTTTCATTGTTATTGTTTGGTTTTGTCTGAATATGAATATTGAATGCATTCATTCTGATTTATTTGATAGGCATCGACTGAAAATGGTGATACAGCCTTGCACTTGGCCACTAGGCGACGTGATATCGATATGGTACGCATTCTGGTCGATTACGGTGCAAATGTTGATATGCAAAATGGTGAAGGTCAAACGGCGCTTCACATTTGTGCGGCCGAAGGTGATGAGGCATTGTTGAAGTACTTTTACGGCGTGCGTGCGTCAGCATCAATCACCGATAACATGGATCGTACACCGATGCATGTAGCAGCAGGTTTCTATCGTCTTTTCAAAATTAATTATCCGTGACTTTTAATTATTCCGTGGTTCTTTTTATAAATATCTTTTCAATTCTGTGACCCGTTTATCTTGTTTTTGTTAACCGATTATGTTGATTGTTATAGAAAATGGGCACGCAAATGTGATTGAAATATTGGCCGATAAATTCAAAGCATCGATTTGGGAACGAACGAAGGACGGTAGCACATTGATGCACATAGCATCGCTTAATGGACATGCAGAATGCGCAACGATGCTGTTTAAGAAAGGCGTTTATCTACATATGCCAAATAAAAGAGGTGCACGTAGCATACACACGGCCGCTCGATACGGTCATATCGGAATCATAAACACATTAATTCAACGAGGTGAAAGAGTCGATGTCACAACCAATGTAAGTTGCACAAGATATTACAAATCGATTATATTTGACGAATTTCGAATTAGTTTCATTTCAATTGTTCCCCTTTGTTCTTTTCGTTTCATTTTATATTGCTTTTGTTGCCATCGTTTTTTGTTCGAAAAACAATAGTTTTTATGACTTTTTTCGAATTTGAAACGTTAAAGCAGCTATGTAACTCAGACTGTTTTTTTTCTCAATCTCAAAATATTTTGTCTTTTTTTTCACTCGGGTAATCGAACGTTTAATAAAAAATAAAAAAATGTTGAAGGTTGACAATAATATTAGAATAAAGAATATCAAAGAATGTGGAATGGATGTCAATACAATGGAATTCAAATTTACAACAATTTTTATTCCAGATTACGTTTTGAAACATAGTTTTAATGGGAAAATCTAACTTTTTTTAGGATAATTACACAGCGCTTCACATAGCTGTCGAGTCAGGTAAACCAGCTGTGGTTGAAACCCTGTTGGGATATGGTGCCGATTTGCATGTTCGTGGCGGGAAACTACGTGAAACGCCATTACATATTGCAAGTAGAGTTAAGGACGGTGATCGATGTGCGTTAATGCTTTTAAAATCTGGTGGTGGACCCAATCTGGCGACCGACGATGGCCAAACTCCGGTTCATGTTGCTTCAAAAAATGGAAATTTACAAACTCTAATTTTGCTACTGGAAGACGGTGGCGATGCTATGTGTAAATCTAATGTTAGTAAATGGACGACAATCCTATTTAAGACTACAACATTTCTAATCTTTTTCACTTTTAATCGATGAAAATTATATTCGTTTTATTTTTCTTTCACATATCTAGAATGGTGAGACGCCATTGCATTTAGCGTGTCGTGCGTGTCAATTGGAGATTGTACAGCAATTAATCGATGGTGTAAAAGAAAAACACGGTGCCGAAGTATTAGAAACTTATATAAATACATTGAATGAAGATGGAGCAACAGCAATGCACTATATTTGTAATGTGCCAACGGATGAAGTTGAATTTCCCGATGCCGATAAGGAAATCGTTCGTTTGTTACTGCAAAATGGAGCGGATGTTTCGTTGCAAACAAAACAAACGATGGAAACCTGTTTTCATTATTTAGCCAAGACTGGAAATAATGACATTTTTACCGAAATGCTGCAACATATGACACCGGCCGATATTCAAAAAGAATTAAATCGACAATCATCAATTGGTTGGACGCCACTGTTGATTGCATGTAATCAGGGTCATATGGATCTTGTAAATAATATGCTTGCAAATCATGCTCGTGTTGATGTATTCGACATTGAGGGTCGTTCGGCACTGCATTTGGCGGCTGAACATGGATTCATTCAGGTGTGTGATGCATTGCTTACGAATAAAGCGTTCATTAATTCAAAATCTCGAGTCGGTCGAACGGCTCTTCACTATGCCGCAATGAATGGCTACAAAGATTTGGTGAAATTTTTGATCCGCGATCATAATGCAGTTATCGATATTTTGACATTGCGAAAACAAACACCGTTGCATTTGGCAAGTCAGAACGGACAATTGGAAACGTGCATGTTATTGTTAGAGCTTGGTGCAAGCATTGATGCCACCGATGATTTGGGACAGAAACCAATTCATGCTGCTGCACAAAATAATTTTTCGGATGTGGTGAAATTGTTTTTGCAACAGCATCCAAGTTTAGTAAATGCCACAAGTAAAGACGGTAATACTTGTGCGCATATTGCTGCAATGCAAGGTTCAGTGAAAGTGATTGAAGAGCTCATGAAATTCGATCGACAAGGTGTTATCAATGCAAGAAACAAACTAACCGATGCAACACCACTTCAGTTGGCCTGCGAAGGTGGTCATGTGGATGTGGTAAAAGCTTTGGTTCGAGCAGGAGCTTCAGCAACCGACGAAAATAAAACTGGTTTTACAGCAGGTTATTAATTTTACACATACTATTTTTTACACAAAAAAAAATAACATTTTGAACGTTTGAAGAGATTTCAATCAAAATTAGGGTTACCTTCCATACAAAATTTTCAATTTTTGGCTCCCATACAAAAATCCAAATTTTTTTTTACAGTACATTTGGCTGCACAAAATGGACATAATGGTGTACTCGAAGTGATGAGAAGCACAAATTCTTTGCGAATTTCAAGTAAAAAACTTGGACTGACGCCAATTCATGTTGCCGCGTACTTTGGACAATCAGATACGGTGCGTGAATTATTGGGAAATGTGCCAGCTACAGTAAAATCAGAGACCCCAAGTGGACAATCATTGGTGCCTGAATTGGGATTAGAATCAGGAATGACACCGTTGCATTTGGCCGCGTATTCCGGGAACGAAAATGTGGTGCGCCTTTTATTGAATTCAGCCGGTGTACAAGTCGATGCTGCCACCACTGAAAATGTAGGTCACAGAAAATTTTGAAAAATACCTTTTTTTCTTAAAGAAATATCAATCTGAACGTTTTTCTTTTATTTCGTGTTCATTGCAGGGTTTTAACCCCTTACACTTAGCTTGCTTCGGTGGTCACATGAGCGTTGTTGGTTTGTTGTTAAGTCGTTCTGCAGAATTGCTTCAAAGCTGTGATCGTTATGGAAAAACGGGTCTTCACATTGCTGCAATGCACGGTCACTATCAAATGGTGGAAATTTTATTGGGCCAAGGAGCTGAAATTAATGCAGCTGATAAGGTGCTTCTATTTATTCAAAAATTTGTAGCATTGAAAAATAAATTCCTAAATTAATTGTTATTAATAATCTTTAAAAAAAAAGAATGGATGGACACCGTTGCATTGCGCAGCCAAGTAAGTACAAACACTTGTATTCTGTTTTTTTTTCTCATTAAATAATAACAATGTGTAAATGTTTTTTTTTAAAGAGCCGGTCATTTGGATGTAGTTCGTTTGCTGTGTGAATCGGGAGCATCGCCAAAAAACGAAACTAATTATGGTTGTGCGCCGATATGGTTTGCAGCGTCTGAAGGACATAACAATGTATTCAAATACCTGATGCACAAAGAACACGATACATATGCACTTATGGAAGACAAACGCTTCGTTTACAACTTAATGGTTGTGTCGAAAAATCACAACAATAAACCGATTGAAGAATTTGTTCTCGTCTCTCCAGCGCCCGTCGATACAGCTGCCAAATTATCAAATATTTACATCGTTCTTTCCACAAAAGTACTTAAAAATTCCTCTTTGAATACGGACTCAGTGACCGTGAAATTAATGTGATGTCTCGTTTTGTAGGAAAAAGAACGAGCAAAAGACTTAATTAATGCTGGTAAACAGTGTGAGGCAATGGCTACAGAATTACTGGCATTAGCAGCTGGTGCCGACTCAGCCGGACGAATTTTAACTGCCACTGATCGAAAAAATACTGAATTTCTAGATGTACTCATCGAAAATGAACAAAAAGAAGTGATCGCACACACAGTTGTTCAACGTTATCTTCAGGTTAAAAAAAAAATTCCAACCCTTTCGTCTTAACCAGAAAAATAAATATAAACAAAACAAAAACAATCAGTTGCCATACATTCCGATCCTTATCAATTGCAGGAATTATGGCACGGCGTACTGAATTGGTCTGGCATTAAATTGGGTTTACTGTTGCTTGCGTTCATTATATGCCCGCCAGTCTGGGTCATTTTTACACTTCCATTAGGTCATAAATATAGCAAAGTACCGATCATAAAATTTATGTCATATTTAACATCGCATTTTTATTTAATGCTTTTACTCATGTTTACGGGTAAGTTTGCATTTATATTACACGGATATTATTGAATCATTATTATTTAAAGCCAATATTTGTAATCGTTACTTTTCATTCGATTTTTTTTTCACTTGATTTTGTTTTAACTTGATTTTATAACCGCACAGCTATTATCCCGCCCTATCCGGTCGTTCGACCTGGTCTATTTCCATATTGGTATGAATGGGTGCTTCTTGTTATGTTATCCGGTTTATTGTTATTTGAGTTAACGAATCCGAGCGATAAGTCTGGTTTGGGTTTCATCAAATTGCTTGTACTATTACTGGGAATGGCCGGAGTTGGCGTTCATGTTGGTAAATATTCTTTTTAATTCAAATTTTATCGTTTGAAATAATTGTATTTTCTGTCGAATTGCATTTTTCTGTCCAATTAAAGCTTCAATGTTTTTTGTGAAAATTGAATATTGGCCAACGGTGATGTACTGTCGAAATCAGTGCTTTGCCCTATCGTTTCTGTTGGCGTGTGTACAAATCTTGGATTTCTTGTCATTCCATCACTTATTCGGACCATGGGCAATTATCATTGGCGATTTAATGAAGGATTTGGGTCGATTTTTGGTTGTATTAGCAATTTTCGTATTTGGTTTTTCGATGCACATAGTCGCGCTGAATCAACCATTCAAAAACTTTACACCGGAAGAAGTTCGTGGTTTGGGCAAAAGAACACGCAAAGCGCACCTCTTCAGTGAAGGTAAGTTATCAGTGAAAAAATGTGATTAGCCAATAATTTTATTCAAGATCTGACATAAAGCGTAACATTTAAATAATTAATAAATGTAAAAATTATTTGATGAGCGAAACCCTTAAGTTACATCAACGTCTGGTAAACGCGTGCACATTTCATGCAGCCACATAAGCTACACGTTAACAAAATCGATTTACCTATGTGCAAAAAGAGAAAACAAAGTAGTTCATTGATCACGTATGATATCATAGTTTTAACCTTTGACATTGATTTGCATTTCATGTAGAAGATTTCGACGTTGAGTCGATTGAAAATACGACAATACGTACGATTCGTCAAATTCAACAGGATACATCGGGACGGTTAAACAAACGTCATAAACATTCTCCAGATCGTAAGTTGATTTAAATTCAATTGTGTTTCACGTAGATTGTACGATATGTTGTCGATACATTTTACTTTCTATCTCTGTGTAATGCGAGGCGTTCCGAACTAACCAACAGAAAAAAATTGTGTGTCTTCGTTAAATCCAATCCATTTGTGTTGTCTTTTCCTCCCCGTTACAGTGTTCAACGTGTGTTCTACCATAATTTTTCTTTATTTCATTATTCAAATATGCGTAAACAAAAAAGCAAATAAAAAACATTGGATAACATTTTTAGTTAAATCTAAAAATAAAGTTTTACGCTTCTCAAATATATATATATATATCTATATGTGTGTGGATTCGTATAGTTTCATTGCTCTTGAAAGTGAAAACTGTTATTGTTATTGTTCATAGTTGTTATTGTTGTCGTGTGTTCATATAGTTTGTTGCACGAAAGCTCCATATCATATATCCGTTCGTATGCTTTAATGTGAAACGTCTTAAATCGATTGTCTCGTTTACGATACATCAAACGCATGTTAAACGCTACTATGTGTTCGCCGTCATTGTCATCGTCTATTCGTTTTCTCCCCAAAAAAAAACACTGTTGTTGTTGTTGTTTTTGTATGTTCCTTTAGCAAAATCGATCGCCTCGCATCTATTTATGATCACAATAGTTCAACTATGTATAATGAAACACCAAAGGTCGGAAAAAATGCATGGTAAAAAAAATCCCGACTATCTCTATAACCACGCACCCTGAACTAGATCATCGTTGGTTTTTACGACCGAAATAAGTATTCATTTCAATTATTTATCTTCTTTAATCGTGTTTTCAACGTTCACACACACAATATAAAACGACAACGCACACAAATAAAGAACCAATGACACCATTTGTCGCATTCGAGCGCTTATTTTTCGCTGTATTCGGTCAAACAACGAACGATGATATCAATCCAATGCCAAAGCTGCGACCAGAGTGGACTCAGGGTTTCTTTAAAATAATTTTTGGCTCATATTTGCTTGTGTCAGTGATTGTATTAATCAATCTATTGATTGCCATGATGTCGGATACATATCAACGCATCCAGGTGATTTAAGCATTTCAACCAGTACAATTTTTACTCATCAACTGTCTTCTCCTCTCTCCCCCCTCTTCTTTCCCTCTATCATCCCATCTATTCTCATTTTATTCCCAATTTGTTCTGTGTTCGTCTTGTCTTACTGTTATTCATATTTCGTTTTCTTCTTTCAAATCATTTCTTCTTATTATTATTATTACTTCTTTAATAATTTGTGTGCTGTCCCCATCATTTTGTGTTTTTTATTTTCTGTATCCTTTTCGTCCCAAATGTCTTCTTTTTTTTCGTTTCGTTTATGTGTTTGCAGTACGCATGAATCCAATAGTGTCATTCGAATTGCTGTTTTTTGCTGTGTTCGGTCAAACAACCACCGAACAAACGCAAGTCGATAAAATGGGTAACGCGAATATTAAAGACCGTAAACAGCCAATGGAAACGGATTATTTGTTTAAAATTGTCTTTGGCATATACATGTTGGTGTCAGTTGTTGTACTTATCAATCTACTGATTGCTATGATGTCTGATACTTACCAAAGAATTCAGGTATTTTGTTCATCTCTGCTTGCTTTAAAAAAAAAAAAAAAAACGAACAACCAAATCAACTAGAAAAAAAAACAATCTATCTAACAATCAAGCAGTAATCAATCACCGAAATCACTTCTTCTATTTTTGATCTCTACTACTCTACCTAATGTTAACCTCTTCGTAGAATTAAAACACGCAATATTTTCCATCGATTTTTTTAACAGTTTTTTAAAACGCTGGCCATTTGTACAAAAAAAACACACCTGTTAAAACGTTTTTTTTTTTAGTTTTGATCTTAACAACTAGTATTTTTTTGAACATAAACTCGTAAATTTTTGGCTTTGATTTTTTGAAATTGCCTAATTCATTGCCTAATTTACTTCTATGAAAAAAAAGATTTGTAAATATATCTTAAAAACACTTAAATTTGGTGCAAAATGGTTAGGCATTTTAATTAAACAAATATTTTAGGTTTTAGTACCTATCAACTGCTTCACACCTTCTGAATCTAATAGATTTATAGTGCGTCTTGTAAATAACGCCGTATAATTTTGAATCGACTGCAATTAACAACAACTAACCACCCATTTTTAAAAAACAAATACACTTTTGATAGAATTTTTGTAATTTGAACTAATTTTTATGCAACATTGAATGAAATTGAATGAACATTTTTTTCTGATTACCACTGAAAATCAGACACATTGGCAGACTGTATAATACACTTACCTAACTGCTTTACTCAAAATGAAACATTTTATAAGAGAGAAACGAAAATCACAACCAATTTTTTTTATATACTAGAAACGTTTGGGGTTTAATTTATACAAAACGCAGACGTAATCATGTATATTGTAAATAATGCAACAATAAAAACTACAACACAAATTAAGTAAATGTAGACAACATTTACAAAGACAAAAGACAACATTCGCAGAATGAAATCATGTGGATACATACATTTCGGACAAATGCCAAATAAAAACAGCATAGCAAGATGCAGCAATGTACGATAATACACAGAATCGTCGTAATCGATGGATGTCAATTTGGATCTACAGATTTTATTCACTATTTTGATGAATAACAATCGATCCAATTTTTACTATTTGAAAAATTGGCTTTTACATTTGTGAAAAGCCAACACCAATTGAAACGATAAATTTTTGCTTAACTATTTTGGTTCGCACTTTATTTTTTATTGGAGATGCAAAAATGTTCATTGTTGGATTGTCACAGATTTGTAACAGCCAATAAATGAATAGTGAAAATAATTAGCTCTGTGTACAAAAAACATTATTGGGCATTCAAGCCTCGATATAGAATGAACTTAGAGCGAAACAAAAAAAAAATATTTTATCTGTGTTGTCAGTGTTGTCTTAAATAATTTTGCTACTTGTAATACGTCCTCAGCATGTTGGCGTTTGTTCCCTTTGCTGTTTACATTTATCACACGCAATATTTACATGGTCTCACTTTCGCTTTTCTTTCAATTTTAAATCATTAAAATGATCAATGGCATAAGTTGGTAAAAAATTTCTTACACATTCTCACTTCCTGTACACTTCTGTATTGCTTGTTTTTATATTTCAAAGAAACACATGACTTTTTCGGCACATGAATTTTGCACATTATTTTGAAAATTCACCTCACAACTTTGTATTTTGCATCTTCAAATCAAATTTATGTGTATATTTTTGTTCAGTTCAATTCTGTGTATTCAATCCCTTTGTGTATACAATTAATTAATTAAAACATTATCAATCATTTAAAATCAATGTATTGTATTAAAAAATGTTGACGTAAAATTATAATAGGCACAATCCGATATCGAATGGAAGTTTGGGTTGTCAAAACTAATTCGAAATATGCATCGAACGACAACGGCTCCGTCGCCACTCAACTTAATCACCACTTGGTTTATGTGGCTTTTGAATGCATGCAAGGTAAACTTATGAATGCAAATGCTCTTCTCTGCCATGTGTAACGTCCCGATATCTGTCAAAACTTTAAAACTTTTGCTAAACGAATTTCTGTTCATTTGAAATTTTCATGAATAAAAACGCAGGCCAAATTCAAGAAGAAAAAGAAGCAGAGCTTGGTTAACATGATGGGAATTCGGGCAGCATCACCTAGGACCAAAGCAGGTGCTAAATGGCTGTCTAAAGTAAAGAAAGGTGGTCAGGTCGCTCCAAAAGGTTTGCATTGCGCATGCGCTTGTTATTGTGTATCATAGTTTTGTAGTTTAATATGTAATCTATATTCATTTTTTATGACTTAGTTTTGTGACGTGACCTTGTTTTCGTCATAATTCTTCATTTGTATATCGTAAGACCGTATTTATTATGAAATTGAAAAATGTGGAAATTCATCAGTAAAAGTCTTTGGTGGGATACGTGAACCATTTTCATAAAATTTAACTTTAATTTGGCTTGGAGGATCAGTAAAATCCACATTTTTCAAAAAAAAAAAAAAAAAAAAAAAAATCAGCCTTTTCGTACAGTAATTTGAAAAACCTGCATAGAAAGGCACACATCCTTACTATTCAAATGATTAGTGTAGTGCATTCACAACCCCCCAATTGTCCAGTATCTCGTAATCATCGTAAGCGTTTCACACTTCGTATTGTAATTTATTTTAATATTTGTTTCATCCTTTGTCCAGCCGTCAGTTGTTCTGGTTTTTCTTCATTTTATTATAACACTCATTTAACTCGCCATTTGTGTAGTAATCTTTATTAATTTTATCGAACAAATTGACTGATCATTAGTTTGATTATAGCGTATGTGGAGCACAATCTTAGAACGGTTTGTGTTATAGTATACTTGCAGCCTGCTATTATCGCAAGACAAGACTTACAACATACTTTTCTTTACTTTAAACAATCAATGGAAATTCAAGCGTAAAACCGACAATATTCGAAACCAAAGCCAATTTCAAGTGAATGAAATACCGATCAATTTTTTTTTACATAAAAAACATTCTCTCATAAAATTACAATTTTGGAAGTCGCTATTTTTTTTTTTTCAAATTCATAAACAACGTTTTTGCATGTGTTGAATTTATCATACTATGACAAATAGGTTGGAATCAAGCATGAAAAGTCTAGTAAAAAATAGCGATTTCGATGAACCAAAATAGGATTTAGATGGTTCATCTCCAAGTTAAGTCTCTCTTCTAAATGAATGAGAGAAGAGAGTTTAATCAAAACAAATGCATTAAATTACGTTTCAAATCAATAAAAACATTTTCATTTTCAACCAGATTCCGTTGCTCTATCGGTGGTGCACTTGTCACCGCTTGGATCACAGTTGAGTTTTGCACAGCATGCAGGTACGCGCATTGAAAATGTCGTGGATTGGGATGCAATTGCCAAAAAGTATCGCTTACTATTTGGAGGTGAACCTGAAGAGACCGGTTCGGTGCACACCGAATCCGATAATCAATCAAATGCATCGGGAGATGCGGCACAACATAATGCACCGGCAGCACCACCAGTCGGCAATAATACAGCTGCCATGAATCAAGTCTAAATTGTAAATGTAATATAAAATAGCCTCATCCATGATTTCGAACGGAGGAATTAACACAACCTTTTCTCTTAGTCAAGGAGTTTAAGGAGTTTTAAAGAAGAGATTTAAGCATTTTATAGTGGAAAAAAATGTGGGATTCATTGGAAAATACAATCAATGTGTATAAAGTGTACGATTAAATCTGTATGATTAAATAAAATAATACGTTTTCATTTTGCGATTCAACGTATTTTGACTTGTAATTATACTCGAAATAAACAAATCAATTTTAAGCAAATAAAATTGTCCTTTCATTTCGGTATCGAAAACTTTACTTTACTTTAGAGAGGGGTATATCAATTATGTATTGTCGCACGTTGAACTTCAAAGTTTCCAAAGCTCCTTCATTGTGGTGGCTTGAAGTTATATGTATAATGCATGTTTGCATTGCTAAAGTACATATGAAAGAATTTTGCATTTGTCGGCTTTTATTCGGTTTGAGCATTTCACTAGATGGTGTTTGAAAAGGGTAAGTAAGTAACTCAAATGAAATATTTAAACAACAAGACTCTTCCCCAAAGTCTGGCCTCCATAGCCTCCATAAAACATGTGCCGAAATAGCTCAGTTGGGAGAGCGTTAGACTGAAGATCTAAAGGTCCCGTGTTCAATCCACGGTTTCGGCATGATTTTTTTTTACTTCTTATCACTTATCTACATTATTTTCTGGACCTTATAGATTGCTTTATAATATCGTTCCAAGATACTACATTAAGCTTACTAGATGATTTGAAATGAAACCCCCCGTCAAATGAAACAAAGCACACCCAAACTTGAGTTGAGTGATCAGCTGCTGTTGTTGGTATTTTTCATTCACTAGCAACTGGTGGATGTTTATATGTTTTATTAGATTTTTTCTAGATATGCACATTTTTGTTACACATTTTACATAGTTTCATTGCAAAGAAAGTCTACTGACATCAATTTTAGTCGGTAAAAATTCACAAACCAGACTGAATTAAAATTCGTTCTAAAAATTCACGTAAGAAAATTATTGGTTTTTGTGCTATTAAAATTATTCGATCGATTTCAGTGCATCAAACATGTTTTGTCAATTTCAAAATTAAGAATTTTTTGTTCAGTCTAGATTATTGAGCTAATTGTTTAGTTTTGAAATGTTGTTTTGACATCAATAAATTATGCAAACTCTTTGTTTATCAATGGCTTTGTCATTTCACCCAAGTTTACAAATTGTACATGAACCGAAAACCAGCTATATCGAATTCCATAAATAAATTGTAGCAAGATATTCTGTGTTTTCATTCACCAATAAAATGTATAAATTTTTTAGCATCTCCGTATCAATATCATTTAACAACTAGTTTAAAAATAATCATAAGAATTATATTGGAATGACAGCTTTGAGTTGCCGCCAAAAAATGTGGTGCATCCTTAAACTTGACCAATGTAGCGTATCGATGTTGTTGTTACCAACACATTTCCATAGTCAATATTTGCATCTCTTTCATCATGAACATCTCGGTGTTGTTATTGTATGTCTATCACATTTATCCACTCGATTCGCTCAAGTATTTTTTGCTACACTGCGGTTTTTATTTATACTAAAACTACTACTATCAAACGAGCCTTAAATAAAGCAGCAGCCATTTTTTCTCTTTCAAGTTTCATGTTGTTGTGTAATCGTTAAGCATATTCAATTCGAAAAAAATCTTTTCGCATAGAATCCATTGCCATTATTTGTATTTGTATTACAAATTCTATTGAAATTCATAAATTCAATTGTATATTCCATTGATTCGGTGAGTAATGTGATTCTTATTAATTGTTAAGCTTGTTTAGCTTCTTGATAAAATTTTGGTATTGCTTGTAAATATATTAAATTAGTACTAATTATTACTAACAATTACAATTACAACAATTAATTAATTATGAACATAACTGATTGAAATTAATTTCATTTTCATATAGAAACACCTCGAAATAAACAAGATGTCAAGAACTGGACCACCAGCGGCAAAGCGGAGACGTAAAAATATCGAAATTGCACGATCTGAACAACAGCAAACCAAGAATTTGATGGATCTTAATGATGAATGTTTGCTAAAGATTTTTCGATATTTGAAGCGTTCCGGAGATCTGGGAAAGGTCGAAAAGGTTTGCAAACGATTTGCTGAATTTGCCGAGTACGCATTCGTTTTGGATAATGGTGGCGCTCGTATGGGATATTCTGGTAACTACGGCTATGAACACACAGAAAAAATGCTTCGCATCATCGGACGTCACATTTCTTCGCTATCAATTTGGGATTTTCATTATGGTAGAAAAACTTGGAACAAGATATTACTGTTGGTACAAGAATATTGCGCAAAGTTGAAAAAACTTCAGATAAAAGGATTCATTGATCGAAGTTTGTTTTCACAATTGAAGCCGTTGTTCAAACGTTTGGAAAAATTGTCACTTCACTGTGGCAGTTTGAGAAGCAGTGATTTGGATATTATGAATAATTTAAAAGCGCTGAATGTTAGCGCTGGTGTTGATATGTTACTTCGCGGATTTAGTCCGATCAAACTGACCAAAATGCAAGAAATGAGTTTTCACGATGCTTCCAAAATTGACGATGCATCAATGATCCATATCATAAAGTTGACCACAAACCTGAAGAAACTATCAATTTCTGGTGCAAATAATCTAACAACTGCAGTGTTTGATGCGATCGGTCAATTGAAAGAACTGGAAGAGCTTGAATTCTTAAATCCATATATGAAAACATCTGAAAACTTCCAAGACGATTTGATGCATTTGACGTCGTTGTGCAAACTCAAAATATTGAAGTTCAATTGTGCAAAACAAACGTTATACCCACTTCTTGAAGGACTCTCCACCAATGGCTTTGCTCTCATAGAGCTGGAACTCCATAATGGTTCTCCCAATGATCGTGTATTTGAAAGCATCTGCAAGATAAAAACATTGAAGAAGTTGAATCTGTTTTATATGAACGGGCTCAAAGACGAACACATCCTTGAAATTGCCAAAGAATTGAAATTGCTTTCGGACATTTTTATCCGAATTTCTCCATCACTTAGTCAACTTGGATTGCGGAGTTTGAAACCAAATTCAAAATGTCAACTAACTATTTCCACGTGGTAATATCAAATTTTCACTTTATTTTTTTTCTCTTGTGAATATGTTTCATATTCAACTATTTTTCTCTTTAAGTTGAAAGGGACAGAAATCAATATATTGAATTATTGAATCATTGAATTTCACATTTCCCATTATCAGAAATCTGAATTTTCCATAAAAATATCAAGAGAAAAAATATATGTATTTCTTTCGAATAATAATAATAAAAGAAATATCCGTATCAAGAGATCAACAAAAGATTGTAATTCAGAAATGAAAAATATACACAAGTCGCAAGTCGCAACAACGAAAATAGTAAAAAACTGTATTTTTTCATGTTTTGTAGTTTTTTTTAATGAATTTCCTTAATATAAAATAATTACAGAAACATTTGAATAAATGGCTAAAAGAAATGTCGTAAAAATTTATTTATTTTTCGTTGCCTTTTTGATTTTAGCCTTAAGCGAGTTAACATCCACAGAACTATTTCCAGTAGCTGTTTTACTAGTAGATGGTTTTGATTCGTCCGGTACGATGAAGTCTTTGTTTCTGCGTTCGATTTGTGCTTTGGCGGCTTCGGCTTGTTTCTGGCGACGTTCTTTTTGTTGTTTGGCTTTCTTTTCATGCTCCTTGAGGAAGAATTCTCCCGACTCCATTTGCATATCGATTTTGCTGAGCGGCATCGGCGGTGGGAACGGTGTGTATTCCTTTTTGACTTTCTTAATCTTCGGTTGTTTACGTTTGCTGATATTTTTATTCTTGAATGTCGGTAAAAATCGCGTCCAATCTTCATCCTTTAGCTTTGGATCTTTTGCCAATTCGCGTTTGATCATCAGCGCTTTGATATTATAAATTGGATGTACATTTTCCATTGTATCGATAACAATTTGACGCACTTGTTGTAAACCTCTGTATGGGCCGAGTGCAGCAACCGTTGTCCCTTGTACCAATACGTAACAATCGGTCAATAATTCAATTGATTTCAATGTTGCACCATTTGGGCCGATTAGACGTTGGCGTCGCTTCACAAATTTCTCCTTTTTCGAAACTAAATTACCAATTTTGATGATATCGCAACCAATTTCATCTTCTAACACGCGTTTTGCTTGCTCGTATGGCACTGACCGTGCCATTAATTTTATCATATCTCTGGCTTTGATGATGACATATGGATCCCATGTTTTTCGTGTTGTTTTCACCGACATGCTACCTTCCACCAAATCCAATTCGGCTTTTATGAAATGTTCGGACAATGTTTTTTCCACCAATGGCCAATATTCTTTAAGGTATTTTTCTCTATACTTCGGAAACAATGTGGCAAACGAACTTTCCTCCAGCAAACCATTCGGATTGTGTTCGCGTTTAAATTCCGGTAGTTTCAATGACCAAGCATTGTCAACGGGCTCCGTTGACATTGGTTCATCTTCACTATCACTTTTTGACATGATTTTTTTTTATTTTCCAATTATTTTAACAAAAATCTTTATTGAACGAGATTTACGTTCGGCGTGTGTAAAAGTCACAATGTGTTTTTAATATATTGTTGACAGATGGAAACATCAAAATACACATGGTTGCAGCGTGAGTCTACACGAATGTCAAGTCTCCAAATGTCAATCTACTCGTTGGCGCTCCGATCAACACATTTGACACATGCTCAACGAAACACAATGCATACACAATATAAATAAACAGTTGTACACGAAACGAAATTGTTTTGTTTACGACAATTTAGAAAAAAATATTTATTTGATCGAAATAACATTGTTGTAGACAAATTTGTGTTAGTTTTTAGTGTGATCTTTCAAAAAGAAGATCATTTTAAAAAGCGTATCGTTTGTACTATGTTTTTGTCACATGTTTTGTCAAGTGTAAGTATTTCGAATACGAATCTAAAGATGTGATTAATAATAAATGAGATTTCCTTGAGAAAATTTCTTTTGTTCACAATATCATTCAGATAGTATAATAAGCGATAAAATAAGGTCATTCAAAAAACTTCACCTCGAAATGCGATGAACAAATAAATCAATCAATAAAAAATTGAAATAAAACCGTCGATGAATGTCATTTGTAATTGGACAATAAAAAACAAGTAACAAACATCGTTGGTCATAAAAAAATGTATGGAAATTAACTAGAGTTGGATGACCACATAATTGTCAAGTGTAATTAGAATGTGGTACTCGACGCCAAAATTCCATGTGCGTTGCAATTATATAAAACTGCATAAATTTATGCAGTGCATGAGTGTAATTGTTGAATTGCTGTCCATGTATGATGTTTGTTTTCTCAATTTTGCTTGCAATTTTTTTTTCTTGCCGCACGAATAATGTGTCAACCGAATCCAAAATAGGGAAAACGAAACACGGAAGAAACCAATTCACACTGCACCAATATCACAATGCATGTGCAGAGTGAGATAGCGAGTTGGCAAACGAATGGAAGTGATTTTAAGTTGATAGTAGTTTTCACACACAATCGAGCAATTTTCATTCATTAATTTGGAAAAAGCAGCATGCTCAAGCTTGACATCCACTCGTAAATCGGTCGATTTTATTATATATGTACATGCATGGCAAAAGCCAGTGGCACAATATGGTTGTGTGCATGTAGAGAACGATAAATGGATGGTGAAGACAAACGAAACGAAAAAAAATAACGTTTGACAGTGCGCATAGCATGTGCTAAAAATGTGTTTCCCCTCTTGCAATATTCTATTTACTGACGATGATATGCTGAGCACAAAACGAGCGAGTGAGTCGAAAATAAGCAACGAAAGCGGGATGGTGTTTCGGTTATATTTCCATCGATAGGACAAATAACACACATTAGCACACAAGGCAAAAATTCATACTGTCAAAAAGTGAAATAAGGAAAAAGAAGGCTTTTTTTCTCTTTCTTCCTTTTTTCTCCCCCTTCACACAAAACACTGTAATAGCGAATAATTAGTGAACAAAACTTTTTTTTCTCGTCTTCTTTCATTTTATTATGTGTTGTGTTGCTGTTCTATTTTATTGCATTATTTAATATGTGTGACTGCATTTTTTCCTGTTTCCATTTCCGAAACTCAGTGACTCTTTGATTTTTATTATTAAATTAAGTAAATCATGAAAAAACTCCATTAAAATATAAAGTCACCGAAACAATTGTGTTTCATCGATAACAGTGGCATAAAAAACACACACAAAAGTGAGTATCATCAAATTGTGTTCATGGACTCTTTTTGCAAAAGCGATTTTTCTTCATTTGCGGAAAGTCCATATCTTGTGTGTTTAGTTAAAAATTGATTGAGTTGCCGTAATTTGATTTTAACCAAACTATATTAGATTTGGTGTTGTGTGATTTTATTGATTCACACTGTGTCTTTCTATTTTCTAATGTTGTTTGAATACTTTCAAGTACTAAGTGATACATTTTTGATGACTTTTCCATTTTTAGTATGGCCGATAAACCACCGTCAACCTCTTCACTTATGCAAAATGGTCAAAAACAACAGCAACAATCGCATCAACAGCAGCAGCAAGAAAAACAACAGCACCATTGCTGTGAAATTTGTGGAAAATCTGGTTTGACGGATGACTCGATGCGAGATCACATGAAAATATGTCACATTGATGGAAGTGCACTTTGTCCATTTTGTGGCATGAGCGGAGTGGCACCCGCTGAACTGTTATTACATGTCAATCAAGCACATTTAGATTATTTAACGCCTGAAAATGAACTTATGAGCTTTATCGACGACCAGAGTCCGAGGTAAGTTCGACGTCCATTCCATTCCGTTCAATGTTAAATATTTCTGTCATTTATTGTCAACAGTATTGATGGTGATTCCGATTCACTATCCGAATTTCGTGATATATCTCCGATGAAATCACCAATAATTGATGAAACGGCAACGAATATCTCATACAAAATAAATGGATTTTCTCACAATTCAAACGCTTATCAATCAAGTTCAAATGCTCAGCAAAGCAATGGAAGACAACCACAGCAGCCGCAAACCAATCGAAAAGAGTCGAACGACTTTTATAATGGCAAAGAAAACCAAAATCAAACCAATGGCACTGAACTTTCAAATGGATTCCATAGCTCACCACTTCGTTCACAATTGGGATTAAATTTGAAATCATCAACGACATCCGTTAAAAAGTCAACGAATCTCTTAACGGTAAAATTATTCTCTTTTTATCACATCGTCAATTTCGAATCAAATGTTTTGTTTGCTTTTCAATTTTAGTGTCCAATTTGTCCATATACATCTGAAGTTGCTGCGGTTTTAGAAGAACATATAAATCGTTTACACTTTGATCCACTTAGTCCATCGGTAACAAATTCATCGCCTAGTTCCTATTTAGATACGTTAAATGCATTCGCATGCCCTCTTTGCGCGCGAACATTTGAAACCTCAACCGATTTGGAATTGCATGTGAACATTGAACATCGAGACATTCTTAGTCCCGGTAACATCGATTCGAATGGTTGCGCTGCAACCGCAACGAAAGGAACGACTCGTAGTTTATGTCCGGTTTGTGGAATCTCATTGGATGACTTTAGCACCGCTAATATGGAATTGCACATCGAAAAACATTTTGCAAAAAGTCCACAAAACCATAAAACTGAACCGGATTTGGAAAAAGAAGCGCAAAAATTACGAGAACAAAGAGAATTTGAAATGTTACGAGCACAATATGGAATGGATAATCAAGGAAATTTTCGCGAACAATCGGCGGCGGCCATGCAAAGTGCTGTATATGCCGGTGAAATGAGCGTCGCCGATTATTATGAGAGGCAAGTTGGGCTACGCGCAGCAGAATCACATGGCATTGATGACAATACGTCGTGCACAAAATCCGTTATTCCGAGGGTCGCTTCGTTGTCGGCATCATCACCGGGTGTGGTACGAACACTGCTGTGTTCAAGCATTGATCATTATGCATCCAGTTATGGTGACAAAGGATGGGGATGCGGTTATCGAAATCTACAGATGATGTTGTCATCGTTGCTTCAGGTAAACTGGAATTTAAACGTTTTTATTTTCAAATGAATTTTATATATAATTTTTTTTTTGTTTTCACAGAACACAACATATTACACGGCTATTTGTGCGGCGTGGAATCATACACCAACGCGTAATGCAATGCCAAGCATATCGAAATTACAAAAATTAGTTGAAACTGCTTGGGCACAAGGATTTGATGTACAGGTAAAACATTGACTAACATAACATTTTAAATCCCTTTGGAATATGTATATTTTGCTCTCTTTTTCGACAGGGATCAGAGCAACTTGGCTGTAAATTGTATAATACACGAAAATGGATTGGTGCCACTGAAGTTGTAACATTGCTATCATCGCTACGGATAAACTGTCAATTGGTTGATTTTCATCGACCAACCACATCGGATGGCCGACATGCTGAATTATTCGAATGGGTGCTGCGATATTTTGAGGAAAGAAAGCAGCAACCACCGTTATATTTGCAACATCAAGGTAAAACATTTCGCATAGTGTGACATTTTCTAAAATAAAACAAACCACTTTCACAATTCAATTCAGGTCATTCGAGAACAATAATTGGAATTGAACAACGAGCTTCTGGTTTAACACTTCTAATATTGGATCCCAGCCATGGTCCGAGACAAGTGGCTGCATTAGGTTCATCTAAAGACTCTCTGCGATTGATTCGCAGAAATATGGCTGCAATGCGAGCACCACAATATCAAATCGTTGCTGTTGGAGGATTATTTGAAACCGAGGAACAATATCAGGTAATTTTTCAACATTTTTCCTTTGGTTCATTCACTTGCAGTAGAGTTTAGAATTTTTTCATCATTACTTTGTTCTTTTTCATTTCATTTGTTTTGATTTTTAGGGGAACTATTAAATAAATCAAAAAATTATTTTACTTCAATTTAGACATATTGAAAATAGTTTCCACGGTTTTATTTTCACCCCATATTTCAATTTCACAAATAATGACTGTTTTTCATTTTTCATACTAGGCAAGTAAGATATTGCGTTCGTTGCGCATTCCAGCAGATTGATGACCATTGCTCGAAATTCGAATGCTTCATCTAAAGATTCAAGTAGATTCATTATTAGATATTAGAAGCGTTGATGATAAAAACTCGACGATCCTCATTTTTGATTAATTTATAACAAAAAAAAAAAACTAGTTGATTTCAGTTATTTGACGAAATTTTTATTTGAAAAATCAATATAGTTTATGAGTTATGACATGTTTCTAGTGAAAGTGTAATTGTCAAAAGTCCCCAACATTTATGTGTGCGTGAACACAATATGTTTTTATATGAATGATTTAAGGTTGACATATTACCAACTTCATGCTAGTGCTAAGAATCATAATTTGTGAATTGTTAGAAACTGTGAAAATTAAATAATAAGTGAATGTTTATTAAAATATTGTTAGTACAAAAAATGTTTAAAAATTTATTTTATTCTAAACATATTAAAAATGTCCAAAATAATTAGTTCATTTTTTCGAAATATCAAAGAAATTTCAAACATTATTTTCATTCCAAATCTACAAGTGGCATGAAGTTGGTTATGAATGGTTCGCTCGATCAGCTGTTTTTTGACATTTTGTTTTGTTTGTGTGTGAGTAAAAGGGTGTAAGAAACTGCGTTAGGGACTTTATAAGGGCATTTGACATTACCTCTTTTCAGTTGATTTGTAGAAAATTAGAAAACGACCTGAACAATTAAAAAACAACGTAAAAGAAGCGCGAAGTCTTTAACTGATTAAGAAAGTGATCACGTGTACAAATGATGCGCATTTATTTTCGTTCAAATTGTTGTACAAAAAGTATATTATGATTATTTTTCATTTCCCCAAAAAGGAATTTTATATTGGGTTTAAAAGTAAATCGAGTCAAGAAAAAAATCAGAGATTAACGAGTTAAAATAAGTAATACATTTTAAATGAGATTCAATCACTGTGAACTATGAATTTAATCAATTTTCTGATTTAGCTGAGTTTTTTCTTAAATGCTGTGTTAAGTTTTGAGCTTGTTTTCAAAAAAAGGTGGCTTAAGCTTAAGTAGGAAATGCGATAAAAAAATATCGAAATTACGTGTGAATCATTATGGAAGAAACAAATACCTATAAAGAATTGATATATGACGTCAAAGTGGCCTTAAATAGTTTCTTTTAACTTTTGTCACATCTCAGTTTGTCTATGTTCTCTTCTCATTTTTCTCAAAAAATTATTTATTTCACGAGAATTCAGCTCGATGAAAAAACAAAGATGTTTGTCTTGAGTCAATTAATGGGTTTGCCTTGCGTTTTCATTATTCATCACTATTTTTCAAACTTTTTAATATAGAACTGAATTGAATGAGAAATTACCATCCAGTCTCTCTTGGACAAAATTCCAAAAACGCCATTCCAAATAAAAAAAACAACATGAAAAAAACTACCAATGTAGAAGAAAATAAAAAGAAGAAATTCATTCGAATAGCAAAAGAAAACTAAACATATTTTCATATTCGAAATTTAATAACTGTTTCATAACAACAACAACAACCAAAATGAACCCTCTAGTCCGGAAATCATATTCTTGATTTTAAATATAATAAGACAACAACACGATATACATTCTTTTCCGTTCTCAACTCACGCGAAATCGCCATTGTAGGCCATTTTTTCTATGGGAATAACAAATACAAAGGAATGCAAAATCTGTACCCACTCTTTAACATTTGCGAAAATAAAAATCAATAAGTATAACATTTTTAATAGCATATGATATGAATTAAACCAACAAACAAACAAAAAAGAAGTTCACGCACTTTTGCCTTGATATGCAATTGACAACAACAAAGAAATAACATGACATTCGTACACAAATAACAATTAAACCATAGCAAACAACATTTTGAATATAATACAAAACAACAGATATATAAATGTGCATATTTTCATCGAATATTTTCATATGCGCTATATAATGAATCAAAAAGAATTTTCAAGACGACACACGACAAATCTAATGAAAGAACTTGGCCAAGCAAACAATAGAATGTTTTATTATGCAAGTTCCTAATTTATGGCAATGCTTTTAAAAAAACACATACACACAAATGAAATTATCACAGCTTAATGTCCATTTTCATGCGATATTCTCGTCCAAGAGAAAAGAAACCAATTTTGCTTCAATATAGCGAGAGAAAGAGAGAGAGAAAAAAATGTGTATAAAAATTGTAAGACTATTATGAATGAAATGCCATGAATTTAACGATTACATTCACACTTTACAAACGCGTAGTGCCTGTATTCACTGTTCTAATAAGCTTATCAATGAAGGAATTTAACGACATTTTATTTGAATTCAAACCATTCTAGTGCGTCAGACACATTTGAAATGCTATTTTTTTTTTTGAGAAAAATTCTTCAAAAATTTGTTCGAAAGAATATGCTTTGTTATTTAATTTATAAATTTTAAACGATTTTACTATTTTAGCGTTTACATTAGCTAGTAGTTTTCCGAACTAAAACAGAACTATTTTCTTTCATTAAAAAAAAACAAATAGTTTAAAATGGCTTATAGCAATCGGTGATCAAGCTTCCAGTGCTTAATTTAAATTTATTTATTTTTTGTTTATATCATCTATGAAATAGATCAATAGTTTTACCTATGAGGAAAGAGTTACGTTCATTCTTTGAATAGATTGAATCTTGTTTCGGTTGTGAAGCTTTATCACTGAGAATAGTGCTTTGCTTTGACATTTTTAATACAGAATAGTTTACAAAACTAAGACAGATGATAGCAAGGAGATTCTCTATTTAAATGATTTCAAATTATCTATTTACAATCAGAAATAAATTCAATTTGAAATTAAAACAAAACAACATTTTTTTTTCTTTATTTTTAAACGACCAAAAATATTTTCGACACATGACGTTCCATGAAGAATCCCAATGAATATCATGTCATTTCAAAATTTCTTACAGTTAAGTCTTTTACAGCACACCTGTGTTCTTCTCCACGTATTCTTATACAGAAGTATGGATTTGTAGTCAGGTGATGGAATTTAACATATTCAATTTCAACTCACAGTTGTTTACGACAACATCTTTACTAATTAAAAATCAGATTTCAAAACTTGTTTGCATTACAGTGTTATTTGATAAGAACGGAGTTGTTTGTATGACATACATATGAATACAAACTGCATTAGTATGTGAACAAGAAGATAATCACCAAAGTTTTGATATAATTTTGACATATGTTTACGGGAGTTAATTTACGAAAATCCTTATCAATTCGTTTTGATTTGGATTGTCTGCGAACATGAAAATACTTCTAAAATTGTTGTTTTAAGTGATTTTTTTTTCAACAATTTCATGCTAACAAAATAAGATAGGTTTCTAGATTCAAAAAGAAATGTTTGTAAATCGAGAGGCCAATGAATATTCAGACCAAGATAAAATAAACATGGTGATAAAATTATTAATATATGTTCCAAGCATGACATTTCATTTCACTATATTTTAGACTCCCCGCGTCTCTATAACCAGCTCTATAACTGGTATGTTAACATCGATATTGTTTTTATTTCAATGACAAATCCAATCAGTTCGGTTTGAAAGTTAATCAGTGACGGACGTGTTCCACTTGTTATCTGTTGTCAACAGGTGTTGTCGAGTTATAAAGTTTTAAATCTTGTGAATTTTTTTTATTGTTTTTTTTTTCGAATCAAAAACAATTAAAAAAAGTGCATCAACATGGCCAAGTATACGGTAAAAAATAAATAAAAGTTATTTGATTCGACGAGTGTTGATTAAAATTTCAAACTAAAATCTTCTTTATTAATTCAGTATATGAATGGTTTTGGTTCGCATTTCTCGTCGGAGCATTCTGACTATCCGAATGCATTGCCCGAAGGACAAAATAGTCCACAAAAATGTGCTTATGGTCTGTATGCCGAGCAATTAAGTGGGACCGCATTTACTGCACCACGAACTACAAATCAACGCAGTTGGCTGTATCGTATCCGCCCGTCTGTATTGCATGAGCCGTATGAGAAGTTTTTATCGGCACCTTATGTAACGAATAATTGGTCGGAACAACATCCAAACCCGAATCAAATGCGCTGGAAACCATTCGAATTAAATGATGCAACGAAAAAATGCAATTTTGTCGAAGGATTACATACAGTATGTGGCGCCGGCGAACCGACGACGAGACATGGCATTGCAATTCATATTTATTTATGTAATCAGTCGATGAATGACTGCGCATTTTACAACAGTGATGGTGATTTTTTGATTGGTGCGTTTTCTTATTTTTATAGCAAAACATAAAATGGCATCGCCATTAATTTAATGTTATTTTTACAGTACCGCAAAAGGGGACACTAGAGATAAAAACCGAATTTGGTTGTATGACATGTGCACCGAATGAAATATGCGTCATTCAACAAGGAATTAAATTTTCGGTTGCCGTTTCTGAACTATCTAGGTATTTAAAATAATAATCGTTGATTTTACTTTTCCGCACACATAGTGTAAGGTGAAAAGTATTGTAATCGGTCAAAATTTTGAAAACTTCAGAAACATGTTTTCTGGACGTTTCTGAGGTCAGCGAACCCGAATCAGGCCGTTTTGAGCATGGTTTATGTTAATCTGTACGTCGTACGTCGTACGTCGTACGTCGTACGTCGTACGTCGTACGTTGTACGTCGTACGCAAAATTTGTTAGCAAGATTGCGCTCATCGTAGAAACTTAATTCAAAATCTGACTTTACAGGATGATTGGGGGTCCCGAGGAATAGAAATCATTAGCTTTTGAGCGACTTTGGTTGATGGGAAAAAATGTCATGCCTGGAGTGATACCTATGAAAAAGAGTCCAATTTTCGTCCAAAAGTCATACTTAATGTGGACTTAAACATTCAAAAATATGTATTGGGGGGTTTTTTGGCACGAGAAAACCGAATCCGACGTTAGTTTTGAGATACAATCAATTTTTAATTCAGTTTCCTTGAAAAAATCACAAAAAAAGCCATGCCTGTATGCTACCTTAATGACGTGAAACTTTGCACAGTCTATTTTTTACACAAAAAAATAACATTCTGAAAGTTTGAAGAGATTTCAATCAAAATTAGGGGTACCTCCCATATAAAATTTTCAATTTTTGGCTCAAAAACGAATATTTTGCATGGGAGGTACTCTTAATTTTGGTTAAAATTTCTCCAAACCTTCCGAATGTTATTTTTTTGTGAGTTATGAAAAGTGTTTCAAAAATAATTTCTATGGCAAAATTAACGTCAGACATATTTTTTAATACAGTTTCCTTGTAAAAGTCACAAAAAAATTGAATTTTTGTATGGGAGCCATGCCTGTATGATACTTTAATGACGTGAAACTTTGCACAGACTATTTTTTACACAAAATAATAACATTCTGAAAGTTTGAAGAGATTTCGATCAAAGTTAGGGGTACCTTCCATACAAAATTTTAAATTTTTGGCTCAAAAACGAATATTTTGTATGGGAGGTACCCTTAATTTTGGTTGAAATTTCTCCAAACCCTACGAATGTTATTTTTTTGTGAAAAAATAACCTGTGCAAAGTTTCACACCATTAATATAGCATACAGACATGGCTCCCATACAAAGATCCAAATTTTTTGTGACTTTAGTTATGGAAAGTGTTTCAAAAATAATTTTTATGGCAAAATTAACGTCAGACATATTTTTTATAGTATTTTGTTAGAAAATAGAATACTTTCAAATGTCGTACAAATGGGTTCATCATGAAAGTGTGAAAAATCTTTTCTCGGGTACTTCTGCTATTAAATTAAAAAATATTTCGTTGCCAAAGTTGAAACATATTTTTTGGTCTCGAACTTTACGCCGCTTGAAAGACTTGAAGAATCGAGCAAATATTATTTTGAACTTTCTTAATAAAATACGCAACTACCACAGTGCGGAAAAGTTCGTCTTACTCCCGTAAGACTTTTTATTATTTTCAATTTTATATTAGAGCGCAGTAAATTGTGATTAAAATGAAACAAAATTGTGTCTAAGCCGTGCCATTGAATTTGTCTTTGATTCTAGGGGTTACATTTTAGAAGTATACGATAATCACTTTACTTTACCAGATTTGGGTCCGATTGGGGCAAATGGTCTTGCCAATCCACGAGACTTTCAAACTCCAACCGCATGGTTTGAAGACATCGATGGCATAAGTACTATTTTAATCGATTTTACATTTGATGAATCCGTAATTAATGTTATTTAAAAAAAATCCAGACTATAAAATCATTGCAAAATATCAAGGCGCATTGTTCCAGGCAAAAACAAATCATTCTCCATTCGATGTAGTCGCTTGGCATGGAAATTATGCACCATATAAATATGATTTGGCCAAATTTATGGTCATTAATTCGGTTAGCTTCGATCATTGTGTAAGTAAGATAAACAATGTAGTGAAAAAAACATGACGTAGTTCAGAATTGTTCAATTTTATTGGATTTTTTCATATTTTCACAGGATCCAAGTATTTTCACGGTACTTACATGTCAAAGCCATAGAATCGGTACGGCAATTGCCGATTTTGTAATATTTCCACCTCGTTGGTCAGTTCAAGAAAACACATTCAGACCACCATATTATCATCGTAAGCCAATTCCGTTTTGAATCATGAATTGTTGTCCTTTCATTTCTCATGGGTTATATGCTTCCTTCGACTAGGTAACTGTATGAGTGAGTTTATGGGCTTGATTTTGGGTCAGTATGAAGCGAAGCAAAGTGGTTTTAGCCCAGGCGGGGCCACATTACATTCAATGATGACTCCACATGGTCCAGATAAGGTATGAATCTTGTTCGAAATGGTTTCTTCTGGATCCGTTAATAATTATCTTTTTGAAATAGGCATGTTTCGAAGGAGCATCAAATGCCGAGCTGAAGCCTGAAAAAATTGCAGTCGGAATGCAAGCCTTTATGTTCGAATCATCGCTCAGCATGGCAGTTACGAAATGGGGCGAAGAAACATGTATGAAGTTAGACAAGAACTACTACGAATGCTGGCAAAATCTGCAAAAACATTTTAAAAAATAATCTCTTTCTACAACCGAAATTCTCTTTGAAATGCATTTTATTTTGAAAATTATTTTATCGACAATAATTTAAAGACGTAAAAAACTTAAACGTCGTTTCTAATTATACCTACTGTTTGTGAAAACAAAAATAAATCACAATGCAAACCCATAATCAGAGAGAACTAACTTGAATATTTCGTTATTTCGATGGCGATTGAATTTCAATAGTATTTAAGTATTTTTTCTTACTATGCAGAGTAACAAATATGCTGTTTAAGCTATTGGATTTGTTCACAGGTTTCAAGCTATTTTTACAATACTTTTTTTTTGTTTCAAATTTTTGGTTCGAAGCATTTTGTTCAGTAAACAATAGACATTTAGTTAAAATACCGCTCACAGACTAGATTGTTTTAGGTTCTTTTAAAAACTGGTGTTGATTTCAACAATCTTTGAACTAAAATTACTTAAATAAAAACACTTTAAAAAAAAAAAAATTAAGTTTGGGCATCACACAGATAAAAAAGTTAGTTAAATAATACGCTTCACTTAAAATTCGTTCTCACTATAAAACTGTCTTAATGAACAACAACTCAATGAAGGCCATCATTGTGCAATTTAAATGGAATGTACATAGAGTTTTACGCTTTGATTCTTCTTCCCATACGCGTTGTCGTGTACGTTTTATGACCATTTTTCAATGTTCCATTGCTGCGATGCACACCATTCGATTTGTTTTGATTTTCAAATAACACATCGGAATCTGAGTCCGATTCGTCGAGCATTGAAACTACACGATTCACTGCAAAAAAACAAAAACGAAAAAGTTTGATTAAAAAAAAATATTTCAACTTGATTGACGATACGAATTACTTACACGATGGATTTTCGGTGTCTTGTGATTCAAGCAAAGCGTATTTTTGTGCTTTGGCCCGTGTTCTGGGCTTTGATGTGCGACAATAGCGAGTTAATCCAAAGCATATTGCTGATATTAGTATAAACATAATAAACACCCCAATCACTACGTACAAAATTGACCAATCTATGATAGAAAGAGAAAAGCCATTGATTTTTTATTCCTATTTCATTAAAAATGAAAAAAGTCAACATGAAAACATACCGCAATTGGCCTCACCAATACCCCAGAAATAGTATAAATTCGGCATCCAAAATGTATTGCACATGCAAGCTCGTGTATCTGAATTACAAACTCCATGACCTGAGCATTTATTTTGACAAACTGTTGTTCGAATGTCGGATATTGGCATTCCAACGATGTTGCTGCCACTCCAAAGTTTATCTTTTAGCGATACCTCTACATCGTAACCGTTGAGAATTTGATTCTCCTTTTGTCCCGTCTGTGAATTTGATGCATTTTCATTTGTGACTATTGACATTATTGACAAATTTTGACACTTACCACTTGTTCGATGTAAAAAATAAGTATAGCTTCGCCCGTCTTTTCCTCAATTCGTAAATCACGAACGATTAATTTTATGTTATTTCCCAATAGAAAAACTAGCTTTTGCTGTAGTGATTGAACTTCGGCTTTGGTCAATACAGAAACACCAACTGTGAATGTGATTTCGACCAAATTCAATATCAACGGATCGGGGTGAACAATCACACTGACTGTATCGGTACTAGTTAATCCTTGTGCATCTTCTACTGTTAACTTGAATACATATCGGCCAGCGACAATGTTTGTGATCTAAAAAAAATTCAAAAGAACATTTAAAAACGGGCTTCTGAAGTTTGAAATTTAAATGGAATTAATCTCTATTTTAAGATGAGTGGTAGTCTGACCCCATGGTCAGAAGCGTGAAGAAATTGTCTGAAGACAAATACTCACAATCAAAACCGGCTCATGGTCTGTGTTTCCAACAATCGAACCAATGGCCAAACTCGTACTTTCTCGTGACCACGTATACTTAACGATTCCCAAATCATCAGTTGACTTCGAACCATTCATATAAATGGCATTTGTTGGTAATGTAACCGTTTGATCGCCACCAGCATGTGCCACGGGAGGTGTATTTTTTTCTGAAAAACAAGCACAAAATTTAACTTTCACAGTCACAAAATAAATGTTGTACACTTTGCTTACCATGAACTACAGTGACCCAGACATTCGACGATGCATTATTATTGCTATCGTCTACAATGTGAACCTCGAAGGTGTATGTTCCAATGGTTAAACCAGTGGCATTTGCTACAACTTGATTTTTATTTAAAATATTCGTCGTAGTTGGGCCGTTCAACTGCACCCATTCATAGCTATTGATTTTTGCATCGTGAGTTGAATTGCAGGCATTCAGAGTCACCCAAGTCTGTGGAAGAACTACCGTTACATTCAATCCGGCATTCGCTTGAGGTGGTTTATTAGACGGTCGCTTAACAAACACTGAAACTTTCGCCGTATTTGATTGGTTACTTGCATCGGTGACTTTCAATACAAATGTATAAATGCCCTCTTCTAAATTGGATAAACGCAAGAATGGTGTTCGTGTGTCTTGCATATCAACCGCCTTTGCTACATCCGATGAATCTTTTGTCCATTCCCATGCCGTAATCTCGTGATCATCAGTACTGAGTGAACCATTAAGTGTTACATTATTTTGTGGTAAGTATAGAATTACCGGTTGACCTATTTGAAGAAAAGTTGATCGAATTAGACACTTTTTTGAAAGTAATAAATTGATTTGGTAAACAATTACCTGCGTTTGCCGATGGTGGATAGTCTGTGGCCTTTAAAACTGTGATATTTGCTGTTGTTGAATTAGAGATATTATCCGAGTCCGTGATGGTTAATTTGAATTGGTAACATCCGGGCAGTGTCAAATTTGTGAGCTGCAACGTACTGGTTTCGCTCAAAACTGGTGTATAATTTATCGGACCTTGAATCAAATCCCAGTGCCATGTTTTTATTTGATCATCATCGGTGCTTGCACTTCCGTCCAAAATAGCTGAATTTGTTGGTGATTTGATGATTTGCGTTGCTGGTTTAATAATGACTATTGGTGCTTTATTAAATCGCTTCTCTGGAAGCACAGTAACATTCGCAAATGTCTCTCCTTTCCAATTTTTACCAGATACAACCACCTTGAACCTATAAAGCCCCTCCGACAGGTTGGTTAACTCAATTTCACTTTTTGTTTTATCCGACATAGTTCCATTGTTATCGCCGCTTGGCTGTGAGATCAAAGACCAGCTATAATTGTAAGCTACACCTGTTGTTTGTTCGTCAGGAACTGGAAATGCGCTCAATGTTGCTTTTTTATCTGGCAATTGAACGATTTTTGATACAACCGATACGGACAGTGAGTGTCTCTTTGGATCGATTTCTGAACTATCGACAACCGGATCCTCACGATTCTCTGTTAACTGCTTTATCATCATCATTTTCTCATCAAAGTTACTCGGATTATAAGATAGATTTGGTTCATCTGGAATACACTTTTGATATTGATTTCGAATGAAACCGATATTGCAACGACACATCCCCAATGGTGATTTTGTATCCAATTGCATACATGCTTCATTCTCGCCGCATGACTTTCCATTTATTGTACATTGAGCTTCTTGTACAATTGACATCTTTGATTCTTCGGCGGCTAAATCGTTATCGTATTGATACGGATCATTGAAGCGTGCAAAACCATAAGCACGATCATCGAGTGCATCGCTCAGTTGTTTATCCATAAAATTCGGGTTATAAGACAAATGTTCCGGATAAATGTGATCGGTAACGCTCAATTCTGATGAATCGATTGGCAAATCCATTGATTTGTAGTTTGTTTCGAAATTTTTTATCTTTAACAAATCAATCCAAGATGCATCTAGAAAAATAAATGAAAAGAGTTTTTAATTTGTTTTACTGCAACAAGAACTAAGAGGTTTTGCAGTAAAATTAAGAAGAAAATAAAAAATATCACTTACCTGTTGCCACTGGATTCACCAGAACCATTTTCAATTTAAATGCCATGTTTGTCCTTTCTAAAGGCATGCATTTTTCGTCATCAATGCACTTTACATGAAAACATTTGTTATCAATAACAAATGCAACATTACATTCGGTTTTTTGCATGCAACATTGAACGGCACATGTTTCAATGCCAGACGCTTTGAGAAATTCTTTGTATGTTCCAGCTGTTTTATTACCTGAAAAATTGATGACATCAATCAATCAATAAATGTTCATCGCTTATCGTTCAATATGTGCATGAATCGTTATAATGAAAGTTACCAATTGGTGCATATCCCTTGAACACTTTGTGCAGCATTCGTGGACATATTCGGTCAATATCGATGGCGTCTGCATTCAAATTGCTCATAAATAGTATTACAAGCACTTGGAGCGTTTTCTTCCAATTCCAATGGGTTCCCATGATTTCTTTAATTGTGAAACTATTTTTATTCTTTAAAAAAACATTGTCCAAATGATTTAATTACGAACGCAAAACACGTAAAACACAATTCAACGAGATAAGATAAGGACAACTGAGTAAAATAAATGTGTATCTCAACAGGCTTTTTTCCTTTTCGCCTATGCAATCCCACTACATTATATGCACTTTGGTTTTTATACAAATTTTAAAAATCAAAAGGTTTTCCATTTAAATTATTAAACTTTTTCACATAATAAAGCGATACAGATGTTTTGTGTATGCATTTATTTATTGCGAGATTTTTTTTTGACATTTGCTTCATTCTCTACACTCACAAAAAGCAAAGAGGTTGTCCAAACTGTCAAATACATGTGACACATAACCACACAGGCACATACAACTCTGCCACTTACGCACATACACACTCACACAAATGTACATGCACAGACTTAATCATGTGTGCGCGCGTGTACTGCCTACCACGAGATTTTCACTTTTTCTTTTATTGTATATCTTTCTGTGTATATATCATACATTCACTGTGAAACTTCAACGACCCGTTTAATATGTATTTCAAAACAGAATCCTATTCGATACTCGGCCACTAGTTCGTAAGGTTTCTTTTTTATGTAATTCATTTTGATTGTCTTTTGCAACAATAAATCAAGAGTTTTTTTTCTGTTATCGGTAAGAACAAAAGTGTTGATTAACGGTTACACTTATAAATTGAACCCAAGTTAATTTAAGAGCATTTTTCAATTGGATTGCAAGTTTCGCACAAGTGCTTTTTTGTAAAAGTGGGATTTCATCATGAAAATTTAAAAGTAAAAATGAAAATTTTCGGAAAAACGTGATTTGATAACCTCTCAAATGTGTTGCTCCTTATAACAGTGAATTACCGAATAATAAAAAAAATGAACAAAGCGAATCACAAGTTTTCAAATCAAATTTACTCTTTGCGATTTGATGCATTCAAAAAGAGAGAAAAAAGTACAAGTTGTTTTCGTGCGATTTCAGGAATTTTCTATCGAATTAAAAATTAAAAATCGTACAGAACTATGAAAATATCAATAGATTCTGTTCAATCGAAAACTAAATTTTGAATTTACAAAATTTGAAAACTGGTTCAGATTTTTTTTAAACATTTATATGGATTCCATCATTTAATATTTAACTAATTGAAAATACCAACAAACCTCACACTGATGAATTTTCAATTAAGCAATGTCCAGTGACGAGACACTGTTCTGTCGTTATATTTGCAATACTAAATTTTGGCAAAAGAAAACTAATTTAATAATTATTAAAAATGGTTTAAGCATAAACCTTTCACAATCCTTTCACATTTTTTCGACAATTGGCATAACAAGTAATTATAGCTCTAAATCGTGACGACCACTGCACGTACGCAACTCAATACGATCAATGTATTTACATATATGAACAGAATAGTTAACCAACACTTATACTCATTTAACCTACGTGAAGTCATTTAACCATTAATTTAAATGTTAGCATTTTGATTTGGGATACCATGTATGATTTGATCGTTTATATGAGTATGTATTCCGTACGCGAAACTATAGTTTTAATGTAGCGTCACCGTGATTGATTGTTTTATACATTTATCTTGATCGGCATGGCACATTGTTGTGTTGCTATTGCATACGATTGTTGTGGTACTGTGTTTATTGTGCAAATAAACAAATGATTGTAAAAAAAAAACACGACAAAGTCAACAAAATAATCAATTTCGCTTGTGTTTGTATGTATCCCGTAGTCGCATCATCGTATAATTGATAGCCGAGACTTGTGTTCCAGTTGAAAATTGATGCCAAATCGTTTGAGTATGCTCTAGTACGTGCTCGATAAGAGCGAGGATCTAGTTGCTACTATCAGGTATGTGATGAATCGCACGGAATATATTAAGTTTGATGAGTGTGTATTTTGTCATACATACGGCGTTGTTTTTTTTTTATCCACGATGACAGTTGTTTATTTCTTCTTTATTTTATTTTCATCATTATTTTGCAGAGTGTCACACAAACGAGACGTTTACAAATCAAAAAAATGGTTTCCAATCAAAGCATATCGCGAGCAGTGTATGTTTTAGGCATTTTATTATTAGTTCAAAGTCAAATATCACAAGCTGACAACAGTTGGGACACACAGTGGCAATATGAACCAAAGTGCGATAAAAACGATACAGATGTTGAGTGTTTAATCATGCACATGGACGCATCAAACTTCATCAACTTAACAATAACCAATTTAAACGTAACTGAATTGAAAAACAAAGACGCAAAAATTCGCATTGTTAGTACTGCCGATCTGTTACAAGTGTCAAAAGAAATTCCATTGAATGAAATCAATGAAGGCGTATGGAAAGGATCGTTCGAAATTTTTGCGAGTTTTATTGGAAAAGCAAATATTTATGTAGAAATTGTTAAACACAGTGATGGTGCCAATGTAACCGAACAATCCAAAAAATTACTCGTGGTCATTGTCAGGCCAGAAAGATGGATTGATACACTCTTCATCATATCCGTTGCAACACTAGTATCCATGTTGTATATCAACTTTGGTGCAGCGTTGGATTTAAGAAAGGTTTCAGGTGTTTTGAAGAAACCAATTGGACCGGCCATCGCATTCTGTTGTCACTTTTTATTTTTGCCATTGGTGAGTTAATTTTTAAGTAATTAGACACAAAAATGTAGCCAAATTGAAAATTGCTTCCTTCAATAAAACAAATGTATCACCTTTGACAGTCAAGTTATGTGATCGGATTGTTGCTATTTCCTTCCAATGCTGAAATGCAACTTGGCCTATTTTTCACTGGAGCCAGTCCCGCTGGTGGAGCGAGCAATACATGGACCGTAATACTTGGTGGCAATCTCGATGCATCTATTACGATGAGTACAACAAGCACATTGTCGGCATTCTGTAAGTTATTCCATCCTTTATTTAAACAAATCTGTTGATCAAGATTTTTTTTTTTTTTTGTGATTTAACGCGGAACATATTTTCTTGTTTATTTGTAGTAATGACGCCTTTGTGGATATTTACTCTCGGCAAAACGATTTTTGATCGTGGAAATTTAAAAGTGCCGTACGGTCAAATTGCTTCTTCCGTCTTTAGTTTGATCATTCCGCTTTGTATTGGATTGTTAATTCAACGATATTGCCCACGTGTAGCACGTTTCTTAGTACGAATTTTAAAGACATGTTCAGCTCTTTTAATTCTTTTTATCGTTATTTTTGCAATTTTGACAAATTTATACCTATTTAAATTATTTACATGGGAGGTAAGAACCATTTTGTTCATATTAAATCATAAATTTTAAATAATTAAATAAACATTTGTGTCTTTCAATCGTTGACAGATAGTTGTAGCTGGCTTGTTATTGCCATGGTTGGGTTACTTCGTTGGATGGTTAGCAGCATTGCTATGCCGACAGGAGTATGAAGATCGTTTGGCCATCTCCATTGAGGCTGGCATTCAAAATACAGGAATTGCAATTTTTGTTCTTCGTAATGCATTGAATCAACCGGAAGCCGATTTGACCACCGTTATTCCCGTCTCTGTCGCTATAATGACACCATTTCCGTTAATTGCATTTTATCTGTGTCTCAAGTGTCGTGAATGGTTTGTTGAATATCGCAATAGAAATGGGGAATATTCACGAATTGAAGATTAAGGGGGGAGCTAATGTAAAGAAATTAGAGCAAAAAATTGCTCTTTAATATTGTATTAATTTTTGTGGTGCTTTTTTTTTAACAAACTGTGTTAGTTTCATAATCTCAATGGATTGTGTATGATCCAATAAATTTTTGAAATATTTTACTTTTGTTTTCATTTTGACAAGAGATTGTGATAGGTTGGGATGTTCTCATTCGTGAATTTATCTCTCTTTATAACGATTGAATGAGTCAACACTCATATAAATGCTAATTAAACATGTTTTTGTTTACATTTTGTAGGATTTATCGTCGACGTTCGCGTGAATTTCCAGCCGAGATAAAGGAATGCATACAATCACAAGAGAGCGGAGTTTATTAGAAAGTACAACACAAAATATAGAAAATAATTATCATATCATGGTTGCGGTATATTTTAGATAGAAGTTTTATTTATTTGTTTATTTTGGTTGCACCGACGGTTTTATATTATATGTGATTGAAGAGACAATGTAAAAGCCTAAACAGCATCCGCAGAGACTGATCAGTTAGCCTTTTACAGTGTTTACATACCGATACATCGCATCTTTGGGAGATTTTTTTTATTTCGATTTCGTTTTTTTTTTTTAAATATAAAATAAATTAGGGAAACTCAGATGAATGTTGCTCATACAGGTTGTTGAAAAGTTTATTGTTTTAATTTGTATCATATATTGTTACTTAGTGCATTTTAAGTAAACAAAGCAGAAAAAAGACCAACCAGCATATTTAGGAGCTTCCGTAGAATCAATAATCATTGTGATGAATTGTTACAAAAAAGAAACAGAAATTGATATAAAAAAGAGAGGAACATATATTTTTTTAAGAGAAATATTTGAATAAACAAAAAAAAAATTGTGAATGAACTTATACCCGAAATTAAAAAAATAAAGCCTCTTATATATTTGTATGTAAATTTATTTGTGTTATTTTTGGATCGTATTCCACATACATGTCCAATGTCAATGTCGTTTTTTTTTACCGAAAAATTTGGAAGCACACAACAGATTTATTTTGCCGTAGTGCCGTACGCGAGATCGCATTGCATTGATTTTGAAATACAAACATAGGCGCAATACGCGATTCGTTTATGCGTGATTCAGTTGCGTTGGTTTCACACACACACATATCTATAGTAATAGTTGCCGTTCTCTTGCATTCACCGCTGTACATACATCGATACGTAGTATTTGGAGGTGTGTTGGTGATCAACAGTTTGTTGGTGTGTGCGTGTTCGGTATATTCTGTTGCTGACAGCATACGAGGGCAATTTTTTTTTCTTCTGTCGTTCTTGTGTGTTCTTGTTGCTTGTTGTGCGGCGTTTGTTGTGCTGTGATCGAATTCTTATATACATTATATATTTTTTTCAATATCGTTTAAAAATTGTTTTGATAATATTTATTAAATTTACAACAATTTCTATTGAAAAAAAGACGATCCTCATTTCATTTGTTAATCATAATTATTCTACATTTTTGTGATAAGATATCGGGCATCGTAACATGTATTTGATTTTCATTTGAACGACAAGAACGACGATCGGTCGGTCATTCATTTTGTAGTATATAATTCAATTACAATTTTCTACTCGTGAGGTTTTATTGATATTTTTAGCAACAAAAGTAACAAGTGTAATTGGCCGCAGTTGACTTATTCGAAAGTAAGTGTATGCGTTGGTTTTTATTTCGGTACACCAACCAATCCATTGGAATTTCATTTCGAAATAAAAAAAAAATTCTTATTTTTTTAATTCAATTGACCTTTTTTTCTATACAGATCTTTTCTTTCTCTCACTCGCTCTGCCTGTCTGTCTGCTGTCGACACAATTGCTCATTAAATATGGCAGCACCTTTTAAATACTACGTTCTAGTAGTATGTTGTATTTTCTTTTTGCTGACAAACAAATCAAAAGCATGGGAAGTACACTTTCAAAATGCGTCAAACTTTGAACTCGCTACGACTACAGTGCACATGGATGATACAAACACAATCAATCTCATACTTAGTGGATTGGATGATATTAAAGATATTGATGCAAAATTGCATATTATATCGAGCGATTCGGGAATTTTAACAGTCCATAATCAACCAATCGTTATCGACGATATTATCGAAGGTAATTTTACCGGCCAATTTAATATCAGCGGTACTTTTTTGGGAACGGCAAAAGTATACGTGAATATGACACAGAATGATGTTTCGGAACGTGCAAATCAAACACTGAACGTTATTATTATTCGAAAAGAGAAGACAATTGATCGAGTATTTACAGCATCAATCATTGCATTAGTATCGATTCTGTACATTAATTTTGGAGCTGCACTGGATTTGGGAAAAGTGAAGGAAATTTTAGTCAGACCCATTGGCCCATTAATTGCATTTGTGTGTCAATTTTTGTTTATGCCACTGGTGAGTTGATTAACCTTGATTGAAACCAAATTTGGAAAAGTGTTTTTAAATTACAAATGTTCTCATTTTTTAGTTGAGTTACTTCTTGGGTCTAATTCTATTCCCCAACAATGTTGAAATGCAGCTCGGCTTATTTTTCACTGGCGTTTCACCATCTGGCGGTGCATCGAACATTTGGTCCGTAATACTTGGTGGAAATTTGGACCTGTCAATTTCAATGACTACAATAAGTACTTTTTCGGCATTTGGTGAGTTTTCTTTACTTCAAAAGTGATATTTACTCTTCAATTGAAAATTACAAAATTAAATCCATAATTTGTTCATATAAGCAATGATGCCAATCTGGATCTTCACCCTGGGCACAACCATTTTCGATCGTGGAGAATTATTGGTGCCATACAAACGTATTGGAATTATGGCTGTTGGGCTAATTGTTCCATTGATAGTCGGTTTACTCATTCAACGTTACTTACCGCGTGTCGCTAAATTGCTAGTTCGCATTCTTAAAACATGCTCATCGCTATTAATCATTTTTATCATTATCTTTGCAATCTTCACCAATTTGTACTTATTTGAACTCTTCACGTGGCAAGTAAGTATCTACGTGATGTTTATATCGCACAAATTCTTATCAATTTTTATATCAACTTTCGATTGATTTGACATTATTTTACACGTGGTTTGTGTGTTTTTTTTTTCAAATAGATTTTCGTAGCTGGTTTGGGTCTTCCATGGGTTGCGTATATTGTGGGTTGGACGGCGGCCACGTGCTTTAAACAAAAACACGAAGACCGTGTAGCGATTGCGATTGAAGCGGGAATCCAAAATACAGGAATATCTATCTTCATTCTTCGACTTGCATTGGCTCAACCACAAGGAGATTTGACCACCGTTATTCCCGTCTCTGTCGCATTGATGACACCGATTCCATTATTATTTTACTACATCTACTTGAAAGGAAAAGACCGGTGAGTTTCTACAAAGTTTACAAAACAATGATTAAATAACCGAACAACCATACAAACGATTCAGTCAGAATTGATTACATTGTTATTGGTAGTATACATTGATATATTAGAACGGTTAACCGAATTACGTTTCCATTTAATTAATAATAAACGTCTGAGCCATAAATAAGATACAATATGAGAAAAATCACGTGATTCATTTTAATTGATTTTGTCATCAAATTTAAATTGTTAAAATATGGCTTTTTCATCACACACGATTTAATGATTTGAACCACATTGTCTGACTGTTATTTTCAAGAGCAGAATGTCTGCGATTTTTTCATTATATATTTATGGAGTAGTTGTTATTAGCATGTAAATACGAATCGGTTATTATAACACCGCAACCATGACCATTTAGTGTCGATATTACTTAATTGGTCGTCTTTTCTCCAATGGAAACGATATAAAAATATATGATGAAGATTACTTTATTTGTTAATTGTAATAAAATTTCTATATTTTTTTTATTTTTAGATTCAGTAAACATCGTCGTGGTGCTATGCCTGTTCCAACGAATCCATCCTCTGAGAACGGCAGAGAGTTGGTAACAATAAATAAATAATTACCAAACTCAATATATTTGATCAAATGGGAGATTATTTTTTCTTTAATTCGTCTCATTTTTGCGAATATTTTTCTTAGAATATATTTTACGTTTTTCTTTTGTTAATGCTAAAAAAAAACTTATCTGAGATCGTCAAGACTTATTCTAATGTGAAATATCGTACAAGAAGCTTAAATAATTTTAAGCGAAATAATTTACTTATTTTAGAATTTACGTAAGCAAAATCACGTATAACTAAAAACAAAGCATAAAAATCGGTACATTAAAACATCTTTTGACATAATTGTGAATGAAACAATTTTCTTATTTAAAATACAAAACAAAACTTGAGTCCACCTAATTTTGTCGTTTTAATTTAAACTCTTCTGCTCTTAATGCGAGCTCACGAATATTTTGCAAGCAACCAGCGGAAGCTTCTTGAAGCGCTTTATCTTTGGAGCCGACTGTTTCGAGTAGAAAGGGTACAACACCACTCTGGAAATGAGTAAATCAAAAAAAAAAATCTCCTCTTTCATCACTTTAAGCAAAATATAGTTGAAACTGACATTGAAAACAATTTAAGCCAATTTAATTTTGTGTCACAAAGTTTGTGAAAAAAAAAATGAAACCAAAAACTCACTTGATGCATTATGATGCAATTTTGTGGATCAACTGAGAGTCGCTGCAAGGCCATAGCAGTTGTTCGATGAACTCGAGGGTTCTTGCTCACCATATATCCCACAATTGGAGCAACACAACGTAATCTGCCCAACTCTTGTGTGTTTGAGCCGTATGGTGCACAAGATGCAATTGCTGCCGCTAAATTTTCGCGTAACGTATCATCTGACGTGAAAACTGTACAAATCGGATCAAAATATTAATAGAACAATAATGATTAACGTCGTAACTATGGCGCCTACCTAAATCAGCCAACATTGATATGACCTTATGATCGGATAGCACAGCTAAATTATTTTTATCATTAGCTATTGTTGCGATTGCCGCACATGTTGCTGATAGCACTAAAGTATCACTTGATTTCAGTAAGCCCACGACCAATTCCATAGCACCCACGAAACTTCGAACCAATTCTCCAGAATTGCGTGCATTCTTAATGCACGGACAAAGAGCAAACGTAGCATTTGCCTGAACTCGTGGCGATGGATTTTTGAGTAACGACCAAATCAAACGTACAGCATCTAATTGTTCTAAGATATGCATGCTTTCAATATCTTTCGCGCATTCACACAGTGCTTTGGTTACATTCTCCAGCAATGGTTCATATGTGCTATTCAGTAGACTGACAAGATGTGTTAAACCGCCGATTGTGCGAAAAGTTATTCGGTTGCTCGTGAATTTTAAACATTCCGCCAACGCTCCGACCACATTTGTTAAGACATCCTCATTTTCATCGTTCAAAAGTGTAACAAAGACATTCAAAATGCGAAGCTAAACATGGAAATTATTTCAATGGGTTAAATGGCTGGGGATTTGATGGGCGTATGTACTTGAGGTAAATGAACCTTACATTGTCTAATTGTTTTACATTCTCTTCGACAAGTGTGCATTTCCATAGTGCACCCGTGGCAGCTCCCAATAACGGTTTATTTTCCCTCGTAGTCTTATCTTTTACAATTGCCATTAATTGTTCTAGTCCATGTGCCTCTCGTACCATATCGCTTACAGTCTATAAAATTCATTTTCATTAAAAATTGATCAAAACATTTTTCGATGACAAATTGTGCGTCGCACATAATAACAATGTTAATTGAATCAAAATGCTTTCTTACTCGATTGCTGGCGCATTTGAATATGGCCAAACTACATTGTAATTTAATATCCAAGTTCTCCGAGTACAAGTGATAAACAATGTCAGGTATCATATTTTCCGTGATAACAGCAATTTGAAAATTATCCTATTTGGTCCGTTAATTCAACGTAGTACATATTTTTTTTTGTTGAAAATTGTTCAAAGTGACAGGGCGAAGGAAGAGTTGTGAACATGAGAGAAATTAAAAGTTTTAATTAAATTTAATTGTGTTGTGATGAATAAGGACGGTCAAACAATAATCAACAAAGCACACACACACACACAGTTCAGATTACCCGTGATGCTCACCTCTGTTACACAATTTGAACAAGTATTCATAATCGAAATTATCAAATCGGTATGGACGCTTTTTAAAACTCGGGTCATCAACGGCACCAAACCAAACTTTCGCATTGCTTCTTTGTTTGGCTTCGATTCGGATAGTGAACTCAATGCGCGAGCACCTGCCTGAGCCATATCGATTTGTAATTTTTGTTCGTCGACTAATTGCTCTCGAGACATTAATAAAATACTATACCGGATGGATTGTAGAGAAATACACTCATCAATTATTATTACACACATATGTCTTCAAAGCCGGAAATTTTCCATATAAATGCACAGAGATTAAGATAGAAAGAACACATGTAAACACAATATTGAAATTTAACTTACTCTAGCTTCACATCAAGCAAATCCACTAATTTTGGAATACCACCACACTTGCGAATAAGACGACGCGCCAATTTGATTTTTGCTACATTTGCTAACGTTTCCGCTGCCATTGTCTTTAAATTAAGTGCTGGTTCTGATAAAATATTTACTAACAATGGGATACCTAAATATGACAGGAAATACGTATGCTGTAATTAGCAGCGTACCACTGTTGATTAGATATCATACCATACCGTCTAAGTTAACAATCGCTTTTTGAACATCTGCCGATCTTGAGATTCGTACAAGTATTTGCAATGCAGACATTTGACATTTTGCGTCTTTGCTTTCGAGTAAATTGACAAGCACTTCAATTCCGCCAATTTCCTGAATTGCCTATTTATCCGATTACGTAAAATCCAGATGTAAAATTCGAGTAGAATAAAATACGTAAAATCTTTGAATTAAATTTGAAAATGCTCAACAACAAATCCTTACCACTTGATTGGTTGATATGCTTAAATCATAATCTTTTAGACAACACAATGAAACAATGGTGGCTGTATTATTGCCTGCCTTAACGTATTTAACCAATTTTTGAATGTTATGGTAATCGGGCGTCGGATCGGTAACCGTACGTTTTGTATCTTTCCATTGATTTTCATCGTCATCCGATAAGATATTTTCACTGGAATCGGATTCATAGCTCTCCGCTTTGCGACATGCCGTTGCTGGTTTTGCTACGGGCTTTTTTAATTTCTTCAACTTTGACGAAGTAAAATTACTTTTTGCCTTTTTCAAAGACATTGCGCTATCAAAAAAACCATATAAATCCACGAAATTAGTTGGGTTTTTTTCGTCAATTTATTTACTTTTAAAAATAACGAATCGAACGGAATATTGTTTATGTCCTACTTCAACCGTAAATTCCGAGAAAATCACGAGAAACCGATTAGAAATTTCTATTGAAAAATATATAAAACAACGTTGATGATGGTACAAGTTTTGTCTATTGAAATTCGATTAAACGTTGCTAAGCAATGCACATGACGACATATTTTTTATGACGGTCCGTTGTCAATTACAAACTTCGCTTCGAAACATTTTCTCGAACTGTCTATCGCATTTTGTTATTTGTGTTGCGCTCCACCATCATGTGTGTGTGTGTGTGTTTGCAATGTCAACTCACATTTTAAGTCTACATATTTGAAACGGATGATTTTTATCATCCAATTACTGGAATTTTTCCCTTGTTATTCACAACAACGTCTCGGTTGTTGTAATTATACAAAAAGTAAACATTTCGTTCAACGATAAGTCAAGGTTCATTTCAAATGCATAAAATTTTGCAGATATCTTTGACATTCACATAAAAACATACACTGATTCAATAACAGTTCTTCTTAGATATGATGGATGGTCCAGTAGAGCGAATTGTTGCGAATATATTTTATATGTGTGGGGTTTAGTGGAACAAATTTCCTTAAAAAAAATTTGAATTAGCTATTCAATCATAAATATAGTTGGGACGTGCTTGGAAATTGCCTTTTTTTGGTATTACTCTGTTTCTATCAAAGTGTTACTAAGCCATAGCTACAAACGACTACGGCGCTTTCGTCACACATGAGCTGGTAAAATTGTTTCATTCATTTTCTGTTTATAATGTATGCCAAAATAATTAATGTTCAAAGATCAGTAAATTTACACATTTGACGGAACAATTTATTCTCAAGTGTTATGCAAATAATAATAATAATAATAATAATAATACGATTATTGGGATATGGAACAAGAGGGCGTCGAAGAAAATATGCGTGTTGTTATTCTTACGATTAGATGATGTTGTATTATTTTTGTCGACATCGATTTAATTGATGATGTGTTTATAGCATTATCTATGTTGGTTGATTGGAATTTTCCTGTACAGTATTTAAGACATTCACGACAATCACCGAAAACAGCCACAAATTCCAAGACAATGACAAAAAACAAAAGAGCAAAAGGGGGCCTGAAAAAAAACAGCATCAAACAGATCCACGTAAATAACAACGAAATTTAAAATTTGAAGCAAAAACACAATTTGCCTTCGAAAATCAAATAAAATAACATTATGCAAATCGAGTGGAATAAATTCGCTTAAGGACGAATTGTTGATAAATGCTATTTTGCACACAAACACAGCTTTTTTCGCTTATTTCTTATACATTGTTCGACGTCACGAGGTTTGTTTACATTCAGCTGTGTTTTAAGGATAGAATATTTTGTCATTTTCTTCTACTCTCACTCATTCCGCTCACTTTCGCAATACAAACATCATGTATAAACGAATACCGCAAATACCAAATAAGTCTATGCTGTGAAAGCTCACCCAGCTTCGGAATATTCCGTTGCATATGAATTTATACATGGTTCAACATGGTTGCCTTTCTAAGGCAATCGTATCACCATCATCAATTGATGTGGATCGATTTTATCATTCTACGCTATCCTTTTTTTCTTACCCTGGTCGAATCACTTCCGCCCCTTTTAAGCTGTCAATCGAATAACAATATTGTTTATTTGTTGATCCGTATGGTATCTTTCCTCAATCCATTGCTTTCATTGTTTTGTTGTTGTTCTTTGACATGATAAATATTATGGAAACACGAATCGCATTAGCAATGTTTTTTTTATTCTCTCTTTGTTTGCACGATGTAAGTTGTTGACTGAACAACAGATATTTTATTGTTTACCCGTTGCTGCTCGATTAAATCAGTATCGAATCGATTTATTGCGTTTTCGATACACATGGTTTTCGAATCACTCTATCATTATGACATTTGAGAATTTCCCTATAGCAATCTCGCGGCCAACAAAACAATATGTAAATATATTAAAATGATTTGCAGTATGCATCGTTCACATGTCGAATGTCATTAAATCAAGGACACCACACATGATATTCAACAAGTTGTGCGTAATAATGTGCCCACTTTTCGATAATTATTCTGCAATAACAAAACGAACTAATTCCAATTAAAAAGTATATGCTCCGCTTTTCTGCCATCGATAAAAAAAGATGATGAAAATGAGCTAAATGAAAAACGGACGTTACTTTAATAGGTGATGCCTGAAAATAGCCTGGTAATGGAAAACTTCGATGAAAATTGAATGGCAGGGAAAAGTTTGCTCTTGCAAAGAACATTTTCACATTTTGGAAAATCACTTTGTGGCATTTTTATTCGATTATATCTAGTTTTTACGATGTGATGGTCCCCTATTAAATCACAGACATTGTTTTTTAATCAATTGATTGCAGGCGCCTCCCCATCTAATATACACCAAAAACAATGAAGATGAGAGAGCATCACAAACAAACCGGATGAGCACGTACACAATGGCCCCAACTCAATTCTCGGTCAAAAGCAAGTCAAAAGCAAAAATTTTCCGAAATTTGGTTGTAATAAAGTGATATGAAGCTTCCTCATTTTGCGCCGATTCACACAAATTTTCCTATTATTTTTGCTTGAAATGATAAATGGATTATGGTTTGAAAGCAGTAAATTGGGCTATTTCGGCATGGATCAATCGACATGGTCGTATAATTTTCTTGGTACGTGCTACGTACGCATCAATAAAAATCATCATAAAAACACGAAAATAACATGCAAATTTCCGTGCAAAGTGATTTCATTTTATTTTTGTTTTTTTTTTTTATGGCGAAAGAAATGAAATACTTGAGAAAACACATTGATGTTTGGAATGGTATTCATAATTTTAAATTAACTTATGTAATCTTTCAGCATATTCCAGTGGTCTATTGTTCTTCACATCGTCCTGGTGGATCCTAGTAAAGTTGAATGACAATGGCATAACTTCAACCAAAAAGAGAATAACACGAATTTTGTGTGCCCAACCAGTTGTATTGCTATTATGATGCTAATTTCTCTATGTCGAAGGAAAACAACAAAGTGGAAACACACAAAAACCAAAGAAAGAACAGATTTCATTCGACATAGATATACACAAGGAGAGCACAAGTAGCTGTAGAACGAGAATAAGCACATGCGGCATCATGCGAATTGAATAAACAAACAAGCACTATATAGTAATGGCTCTATCTCCAACAACATCGACACAAAATTATCCGTCCCTCTACGGCTCGTTGTACGAGACGGCATCACTTCGACAAATGTTCGAAAGCAAATGCCGTTGCTGCTGCTGCTGCATATCGCCTTACTCCACATCGACATGGTTTTTGTGTGTACTTTCTCGTGTTTGCGCTACTATATATACGCCATGAAAGGTGGTCATGCCATCAATTGCAAAATAAACGTTATAACAACATGAAGTGCTGCAGCGCTTCTCTCTTTTGAATCAACCGATTATCGTTCACTCTCTTTTACAAATAATGTGTGTGCTTCTGATCCTATTCATTGAGTTTATTGAGAATAAAACCGCTATCACTTTCGTTTTTTTTGCTAAAACTATTTCGATTTCATAAAGTAATTGTTAACCATTTCGGGAAATTTTGGAATTCATATTAAATCGTTTAAATTGGATCCGTTGAATGATTTTTAATTCAAGTGAATGTGAAAAGAATAAAAGGAATTTTGTGCTAAAAAGAAGTGTGTATGTTACGATTGGATTAACATCAAATGATGATTGGCTGAAATGTACTGAAATCACTAGAAAAATTGAATTCAGCACGTGTCCGCATTTTTTTTCGTCAGCATCTCCAACTTGAACACCCAAATCTGAATCACTGAACAATAGAACATAGTGATAAGCGTTGTTATTTTTTTTCGTTCGATTCGTTGAACTCAATATAGTGTTTAACGTATTAATAATATGGGCCAAGTTATTTTCTATTTATTTTGCGAGGGGCCTGTAATGGATATCCGATATTTCAAATAAAGCCAACAAAGCGTTATGATTGCAATGACTTGGAATTGAATTTCAATTTATGATTGACGTGCCTTGGTCAATTTCGCAGAAATAATAATATTCAATCTAATTTTCAAGTGGCATTTGTAATTAAAATTGCGCGAGTTTTTTTATGATCTGGATACTAGGTGCAATATTTACACGTGTACGGTACAATTGAGGCATTGTAAACATAAAATTGAATGATAGAAAAAATATAAATATATTGAAGCACATATGCTTTTGTATTATTCTCGAAACGACAGACAAATTAATTTATCAACAGCTGTTCACGCATCAATGCATTCATAAAATAATTTACTGTTTTCGCCTTCATTCGGACATCTTTGTGAACTACCACCAATCTTTTTTATCGTTTTTGGCTTACACAATTTAATTAAGACCGTTTGCCTCGTTTGCTACCATTCAATCGCGTAACATTCATAAAAGTATGTGTAATTCAAATGCGCTTAACTTTCTAACAACATTTAAGAATAAATACTTTACAAGTGCTTAGAAGATAACAACAGTTTTCGTGATTTCTGTTTATCATCAAATCAAAAATACGCAAACTTTTACTGGAAATAAAAATGAATTCAACTTCGCCGAAGTCATCATTGGCCAAAATTGCCGGATTACATTCGAAACCACCAAAACCATTTCGCATATTAATTCTTGGAACATCCGGAGTTGGAAAGACTGGTAATTATATATTGTACAATGTAAAATACAGATCTTTTGTATCCTTATTCATACATCAAATTCATAGAAACTAATAAATATTGTAGATATTTTCTATAGTGAAAATACCAAAAATTGTAGTTTGACGGGCGCTTCGCTTGAACAAAATTAATTATAGATGTCGAACATGTGTCGAGTATAAGAAATTGTTATTTACATGTTTTCATTTAATTCATATATTCCATGCGGTTAAACAAGCTGCAGTATATTTGTTTTCATACGAATATGCTACATACTGAGTTGTATTCCATTGAAATATATAAAATATCCGTATGTTTGCACGAACAAAATCGATGTGTCAGTGCAGATGACATACCCGAACCCAAAGCAATTAATATCTCTACGAATCCACTGAGTGTTACTCAAATTTTTCTCTTCGTCGATTAATATTTTTGTTTCATTCGTTGCATTCTATTCTAGAGAGATTGGAACCCAATTTATTTATAATGATCTACCTGAAAATACTTTTGTAATTGGTTAAATGTTACGTTTACCGAATTTGTGTACTGAATTTGTGCGATTCATTGAATTTTCATGAAGATTAAAACAAATAATAAGTAAATACCTTTAGATTAAATATTCTTTCGAAGAATTCTCGTTTCATTTTTGTACTCCAGGAAGATTTTGTTTACAGAAACTGCTCCTTTATTCAAAACGACGTTTCATAATGGCTTTTTGTTGTGATGCAATTTTTACGATTCGTAGAATTTGTAAAGCATTTCTGATTGTGTATCCGTATAAATTTCTCGGAAGTTTTTCTCTTTAAACCCAATTCAAAAAACTAAAACTTTTCCATTTTGTATCAATGAACGTAAAAGAATGTAATTTTACATTGTTTAGCTTATTATGAGGATATTGGAATTGTGTGTGGGTATTGAAACGAGAAAGGAAGAGAGAGGATAGCATTCAACCACTTACGTTTAAGTACTTAGTATTTACCTTTTTAGTTCGAAAAGTTTAGTTGAAGTATGCAGAATTGCAGAGAGAAAGCGATAGAGAAAGATTGTTTCAATAAAATGTTAATAAAATGGTATTCAAAAAAAATTCTCAGAGGACATGCAAATACCACAAAATGGACAAACATAAAAATGCCAATCGCATAAATGCAAAAATGATATGTCACATCATAAAAATAGGTCACGCATACAAAAACCAATCATTTTCAAGAATTGACGAGATAGCGTACGCCTGTACAATTTCCGATGAGGAATGCTCATGCTTTTTTTTTCTAAAATTATTTTTTTTTCGAACATGGAATGTAAAAGAGTGTTTCGCAATGTTTCATGGAAATTATCAATATGTACAATGTCAATATTTGGGCGGGCGAGTTGCGTGAAGAAAATAAATGGAAATTTTGTTTACAAATCAAAGACTGTTGATTTTTGTCGTTCATGTGTCATTTGCAGCAAACAATTTTTTTTTCTTTATTTTCGAAAAAAGCAATAATATTCTACGAATCATTTATGGTAAAATTGGAGCTGAATGTCTAAAGTGCTCGATGGGCGCTATAAACGATTACCATTAAAAGCACGCATTCTTAGCATCGACTTATTCCCGAAAATGTGTATTCCGTGAAATACGCAATAAAATGCGCATTGTAAGGTATTTAATGATGTAACAGCACATTTATTACTTTGGTTACGCCAACAATTCCATTGGGTTTATGAAATGTTCAGAAATTAAAGCTTATTACATTCATTCATGAAATACAAATGCATGAGATTGTACGAAAACTAGTTGTATTCGATTGTATACGTACTACGTAGAATAGTGATGAGAGAAGGAACAAGCTCGTGAAATATGATAATGATTAGTGTATGAATTGATGTTGGCGGATGTTGTATGCGTACGTGTTTTTCGCGTTTCTTATTTCGCTGAAGCCATAGATGATAGTGATAAGTAATAGAGGTAATTGGAGACACGCATCAGAAATTTAAATCCTCTTGAATTGAACGATTTTCCCTTTCGCATTCTCCATTTCTCTCACTCGCCTCGTTTACAAATCGTTTTACAAATTTTCTATAAATCCCCAAAAAGCTCGGTGAACGTTGATACATGTCATTCTAGCTAACTAAAAGAGAAAAAAACATGTTTACTTTAACAATACCGACATCAAACTTACTAGCTAGACCCTTTTTTACATACAACATCAGACTACTACGCATCATTATTCTCACTAAATACATTTATCTTGTGTGCTTTTGGACGAAAAATGAGGTTGAGAAAAAAAATATATGTTTTTGTTTGCTTTCCATGAACTGCATACCGTCAACAAAACAAACACACATACACCAACTCCGAAAATAACTCATGCATAGAACAAACAAAACGATGAGAGTCCTGTGACAATTTCCCATTAAACTGGATATTACTTTAACTGTAAATTATGTGTAAAGTCATTTTTTCTACTTAACAAACAAGCACATTGTAACACATTTTTATTGGTTACATTTCAATTCCAGCGTGCTGAAGCGTAATATCAACACCTTTACAGACTTCCGTGTACATTTTTCTCCTGTTATATATCTCTGTGTCATTCCCAAAATTACTACCGCTCAAATGCCATCAATCAAAAAGATTAGCATTGAATTGCGAATTGGCGACAGTTATACAACATTCAAAATCATGTTTACTTGTTTGTTTGCCTACTTGAACGTTGATTGTATTGGCCTTAGACAAATTCACGAAATGTCCTAGACAGATGATGGAACGGTAAATGACTTAAGCGTTTTCTGGGCTCGATTTTTTTTTTTGAATGTGACGCTTTTTGCTGTGAACGAATAAATTTGCCATTAATTCGTAGCAATCTTGTTGATATGTGAAAATATTCTCGACCATTCTTAAAATGGGGATCACAAGTAGTAAAGTACATATAAATAACGGAAAAGATGTTTGCCTTTCCGTTATATCAAAAGAAATTTATCACATTCATCGACATCCATCGTTGGGGTTCTTCAATCACACGAGCGTGCCAAAAGAGCTTTCTTCAGAGGCTGTCATGTGGAAATAAAGTGAAGATCAAGAGTGCGTTAAATTGCTATTTTGCGTACCAAACAAATAATTTGAAGCACTCTCACAAAGCAGTGGGTCTCCCGCAATATTTCACACTTTCAAACAAAAATCACTCCCGACCTGTATACAGTTCTACACTTTATTCCAACGATTTCATTTCATTACATGCACTTTTCGCATTCATTTTTTTTTTTCAATTGAATAGATTTCCTCGATTCACATTTCTTAGGTTTCTACGAATGCATAAAAGCATACATTTATAATAACGACGAAGTAAACTCCCACCGGCTTTTCATTCAAATCGATTTATATTTTTCGCATTTTTCATGAAATCAAACAAATGTCAAGAGTCATCTTTTGCAAAAGAAGAGACGACAAAAATACACACACACACGACAAGAAGATGTTCATGTAATCGCTGATATAATGAATATTTTGACTTCCAAACAACAGACACGAAGAAAAAAATCAAAATCGACATTCTTTTTTTGCACGTGCAGTCGATGAATTTCGTTGTTTGCGTGTAGGCACTTGATCGGAATTGCAAGGGATTCGGTGTCGTCGCGTTTATATAGAGGTGAACGCACACTTTTCCTCGTTCGCTGTTTTATGGCAACAACATTGTATCGAAGTGCCTGTTTTTTTTTTGATCTAGGATCAAAATAAAATAAATACTACAACCCTCGATGAGTCAATCTGCATAAATGTAACATATATATATTAAAATTCATTCAACATTATTCATAATTCACTGACTTAAAAACACATAATCGTCAACGAAGTGTCATACATATTATTAAGCCAAAAATGAGAGCGAACTGTGTTGCTGATGATTGTCATCTGACATTTCAAATCCAAAGACTTTCTTTGCATGAATAGCACTCCATAATGGAAAAATCCATCCATGAATGTTTAAATAAGTATTTTCATGCATCGAATTCAGAATTCGTGTCTATTTTTAACCCAAGCAAAAATTGTTCGCTTGCTTTTTATTCATTGCTACATGGCAACGATCAACATTTTATGATTCGATATTTTATTATTGAGTCTCTATTGTTCGGTGGCGGTTATTTTTGGCGAAAAACATCGAACGAGAACACAAAGAATTAGAACGATGAAGAAAGAGAGAAGGATGTCTGTTGTTTGTGAAGAAACGTGTAGACACTTTTCCATTATGAAAAGGTATAGTGTTCAATAGTGGAATAATTCGTATATGTGAATGACCTAGCCCTTCGCGACGCAACAATCGCAATAATTTTTTTTTATATTTTATTGACAATGTAAACAACAAAAAAAAAATCTAAAAGATTGAATCAGTTTTTCTTGTTGTTTCTTATTTATAGTGCGTCGCATTTTCCGAATCTCATCAAATTCACTTATTATACAATACACAGTAGTTGCGTTTCGAAGTGAACAATTCGTGCACATTGAACTTGAATGGAACGGTTGTGCGCTATTGTCGTGTGAAATGCGTCGATTCAACGGGACGCACGTGTTCCCAAACACAACAGAGCGTAGTATGAACTTTTCCGAATGGATTTTGATGAGAGATGTGCCATGGCAATGTAATAAAGGCAAACAACGTACTTGAAGTACGTTAAAAATAATGTTACTGATAAGCAGCAAGCATCAACTCAAACAGCTTACTCTGCTCCAAATGAGTGACCAAGATTGGCACAAATGACCACATTTCTTATCACACTCTTTTATGATTCGCAGATTAAAATAGAAAAGGGATTTGATGATTGAGTTATTGTCTATTTTGTCGTGCAATCAAACCATATTTTTCACGTTTCTTTTTCTACGCATTTGTGCGAATATCGCGCATAGCATAATTATACGAGTTTTACTCACTGTTTCTATCTCTGTTTATTATCGAATTGGTGTTTATCCGTTGATTTGTACTGTTTATTGTATGCCACTCATAAAACTTTCGACAGTTTTAATGTCGACCATGTTCCATAATTTGGCTCATTTTCCGACTGCAACTACATAAACACTCATAAATTTCTTATTCTACTTTCTCTCCCGCTTCTCTCTCTCTCTCTATGTTATTTTTCACACATATATAAAGTTTTTGTTATTGTTTACTTTTCATGTGCTATATTTTCATGCAATCGCCGATGTATATCGATTCGGACGGTGTTTGTTATCTGTTGATGTGGTCAATTGTTTGACATCGAAGCAATGATTGTGAGATTCATAACACGGCGCTTTATTGGTGAATATACAAACTTGGAGCAAACTTATACGTTCAACACAATTATGGATAATGAGCCTTTATCTTTCGAAATTTTGGACGCGAAATCAGGTCACATCGGTGTAAGACAAACAATATCAAAACCAAATCCTTGTTTACATTTTCCCTTTTGTTTTTTTTTGTTCAATATTCACATAGTATACTTTCGGGTGTTTTTTCACGTTTTCTTTCCCAAATGTTTTTGATTGAAATGCATTACGTTTTTTTTTTGTTGTTGTTTTCGTTGTGATTGACAGGAAAGTGACAACGCTAAGCTTGAGGCAAACATTAAATGGGCCGATGCGTACATTCTCATGTATTCGGTAACTGATAAATGCAGCTTTGATGAATGTAATCGACTAAAGTTTTTGATAAATTATAACAAACGCAAGAATAAAAAGAATGGTTCCAATGGCAAAGTGAGTAGAACGCGCATTTTTTTTAGCTGTTGTTGTTTTCTCCAACCTTTTTGCTGTGAAGTTTTTATGCGTCTCGTAACGTATTGTTTTAACATTGTTTACATTGCAGGACAACAGCTGTGATGTGCCCGTCATGTTGGTTGCAAATAAAGTTGATATGGATAGAGACCGAATGATTGCGTCGGAGGAAGGAAAGAGACGATACAGAGAAATTGGTTGCGTTGGATTTCGAGAAATTTCCGTACGCGAACACATTGAACAGGTAATTTGATTCTATATTGCTTAATGGAATTTATTACAGAAAAAAGAATTCGCCGTTCAATCCATTCTATTCAACTGATGTAGAAATCAATAAACAAATCCATATGATAATGTTTTTATAACGCTTAACATGGAACAATAGATAGAAAAGTTGCATAATGTGTTCTTTCAACCATATTACAATAGAAAAGTCACTTTACGCAAAACCAATCAATGATCAAATTTATTTTGACATGTTTTTTCTTCTTATTTTTCCTCTTCTTCGTCTTTGGACTGTTTCAATGTTCATAGGTTTGGGATGTTTTCCATGACATTTCACAATTTTGGCAAGTCTTTTCGAAATGCCCAAAATTGAAGCGATCAACCAGTGAAGTGCACCAATCGAGTGCAGAGTCAATAGTTAGCCCTGAGTCAACAATTTGCTCCATTTTTGATAATATGATGCGGGTTGAGAAGCGACGCTCATTTCTGATAGGCAGCTGGACTGAACGAAGCCCAGATGAATATGATGAAGGAAAAAGTCACGAAGCAAATTCGAACGGAAAAAATGATATCAATGTTAGTGCACCGTTTAGAGAACGTGCCAGCACAGATGGTACAATATTTTCAAGACCACGTCGATGGCATTATCCGGCTCGTGTCTCGGTTGTATCGAATTCACAGGCACGGATCGAACGTCGCATGAGTATTAGCATGAGAGGCAGTAATGCAAGTTACTGAATGATTCTATTTTCGATTTTTAAATCAATTAAAATATACAGCATTTCTTTTATTTGGTAAAATTTCATATTAAATCTGTGAATGTATTAAAGATTTGAACTTGAAATTGTCTCTTATTGTCATTTTGGTTGTGTTTCACCAAAGAAAATAAAACTGAAGAAAAAACATAACTATTTGCCATTTAGTTTTTCTTCACAGATTGAAATCACTAATATTTATGAATGGTAAGTAGGTTTTCTATTGAAAACATCAAACAAAACGACACCTCAAAAACATGTTTTATGGACGTTTCTGAGGTGTCGTAAATTTTGACCCATTGCAATACTTTCCCCTTACACACTAGGTGTGTGCGGAAAAGTAATACACGTAGCGAATACAAAAAATTGATAAATGCAACACGTTACATTTATTTCTGTGTAAAATGTATGTTTTTTTGTGAATACCAGAAAAACCAAAATCAATTTCTCATTAATTGAAATGCTCAAAAATGACGACAGTTTCCGCTTTTTTACAATTTCACATCACGAACAAAAAGTATCAAAACATTTTCATGGAAAAAATACAGCTGTGCGATGCATTCAATGTCAGTATTTAATCTTATCTCATTGTATTGACGCTATCGGTCTGCTCTGAATGTGATGCGAATTTATTCGTAAAATAAGTTGAGCACGAGACGTGAATACCAAACACGAATCGAATTGATTATTTATTAATTTCGTTATCATTGAGAAGAAGAGGGAACACAATATTACATGCTTATTTATGCAGTCGTCATATGTCATACAAAAATGTAATATAATTTTTTTTGAAGTCATCCACTTACCTAAAGAGCTACACTTATAATTTTTGTTGAAAAAAAAGAGAGTCACACTTATTTGGGATTCTTTTATTTATTATTGTTTGTTATTTGAAAATATCAAGTGGCCATTGAATGATAAAATAAAGAATTTCGTCTGTATTTAATCTAGACATGGAGATCAAAACAACAAATTATTCTGTCCCACATTCTGTATATAAAAACGATCGTCTCAGTTGAATTGACGCATTTTCGATCAGTTCGTTCTTTCTACTGTTTGTGCACTGACCTTTACTGCCTTTTACGCTGAACGATTTTCACTGCAAATATGAGTCGTAAGTGTTTGGTGTTGAGATTGCATTTTTTTGTGTGAAAAGTTGTTAGAACATTAAATATGGTGTTGGGTGATATTTATTATATGATTCTAAGATTTTTATTTTTTTTTCGTTTTTTTTTTTTTTTTTTTTTTTTGAACATACATTTTTGGTTTGTGAAGTAGTTTTGATGTTCTGTGAAATAGTTTACGATAGGTATTTTTTAAATGAAAGCGCTCGATGAGAAGAAATTATGAATTTGGAAAATTCCTAAGAATGTGACGACTGCATGGACTCATGCATGTTTATTGGTTTGAAGTGTGCATTTGATGACTGATTCGAATGGAAATGTGCATTAGCTTTTATTATATTATTTGCGAGAGAAAATGACGAATCAGTTATTTATCACAAATACCGCTGTTACATTATTTCTCCGCTTACAATGTTGAAATAAAAGGTCAACGTTACCGTTTTCGTTTCAAGTATTTAAAAAATAAACATTTGATTCAAAGAAGGCGATCATATAACAACAATACAATAAATTTAGTTTTAGAATTAGAGTTGAGATCAACACGAGATTGATCCGAACACTGAGCGTGTATGTAGATTTTGTTAGTGTAATTTGGTTAGTTCGAACTCTCACCGCTTCAATTTATAATTCAAATCAAATGCATTCGAGTGCGGCGCTGCTTGCATGTTCTTATTCTTACGCACAGTGTTCGGATTGATCTTTGTTCATCTTATCAATGAGTGGTGCACACTGCATGCGTTCAAATCATTCAATTTTGCTAGCTAGCTATGTCATTGTTAGAAAATGATTTAAAATGTTAAACATTTCAAACAATGAGACCATTGTTATGTCCAGCATACACAGCGTCCGAGCGAAGAGATACGTTAAATAGCAGCTATTTTTATATCGCTATAGCAATAGCCGATATAAATAGCTAGCTAGCAACATTGTATGGTTCAAATCTATGTAAAAAAAGAAAAACATTTGTAATTACGCGTCATAGTTGTTATAGACGTGCTTTGTAGATCACCAAATCTAAATTATTATGCTAGTGCACATGACAATTTACGCATTCAAATCAAATCTGATAATATAAACAGCACGTCAATCAAATCGAAGGTTTCATTAAAAGAACAAAATAAAATGTATATACTACGTATAACGTGGGATTTATGAACGTTTTTTCAAAATGGATGCGTCAAAAGTTTGAAAAGAACCGATTATAGTCAATGTATGTCAGTCAGTACAGGAAAAATGTTTCTTGTCCGTATATAATATATCCATAATATACCATAACTTGTATGTTCTACATGAAAAAAAGCTTTTGCGAATATATTTTTAATGAAGAATTTTGTTTACTACACAGCTTGTGTGAAGTGTGAGCTATTGACAGTGGTATTGATATCGCTAGTGAACTTAGCGATACAGTCGCCATTGATTGATGATAGAACGGCCTCAAATGAGTACCTTGTATCAAGAGATGATGTCGATGCAGTGTTATCAGAGTTAGTATCAATATCAAACGAACTTACCTCCAATAAATGCCCCCTTGTCATTAATTACAACCTAATCTATTAGTATGAATCCACTTGAAACAATAAGTATCTCTATTATTTTTTTTATGTAATTTAGAATTATCAAGCCAGATGATAGTGTCGCTCTTTTATCAGATTTTGATGGAACATTGTCCATAATTAATCCAATACCTGCACTAACCACTATAATTCCTGAAGCAAAAGATGCCCTTGACCAATTGGTTACACGATCAAACATACTTATTGGTATTATATCGGGACGGCCTATGTATAATGTACGCACCAAAGTCGGTATTGATAATGCGACATACGCTGGTAACCATGGGATGGAAATAGTATTTGCTAATCACACCGAATTTCATTATCCAATCACACCAGAAATATATGAAAATTGCACCAAATTGAGAAATATTCTTCAGACTGAGGTAAATAAAAGAAATAAAATCCCATTTATTTATAAACTATCTGAAATGTTGCCTGTTTACAAAATTTTAGTATCAAGAAGTATACGGTGGAATACTTGAGAATAAAAATATTTCGTTGGTATTTCATTATCGTTTTATTGCCGAGCATCTACAAAGCAAAGTGATTTCTGAAATAACAGCACTCGTTAAAGAATATGGATACATTCCTGTGCCAGCACATGCTGCAATCGAAATAAAGCCACCGGTTGATTGGTCAAAGGGTCATGCCGCGCAATTGATTATGAATGAAATGTATGGTAGCGGCTGGGAGAAGAATATTCGCACCATTTATATGGGTGACGATACAAGTGACGAAGATGTGATGAAAGTGAGTTTGTATATATTTGAATTAAGTGGTTTGATAATTAATAATTGCCATTTTGATATTTACAGATGCTTAAAGATAAAGCGACAACCTTTCGAATAACAGATGATCCAGACATCGAAACTTTTGCTACTTATAAAATGAAATCGGCGTATACTGCAACCTTTATACTTGAATGGCTTGTAAACAAAACTATATAGAATTAAGATATAAATTATGATATTAGAAGTTTGGGATATATTCGAGTACGAATAAAAAGAAACAACAAAAATGGCAAAATATTTTGAATATAATATTTTTGCGTCATCATCATCACCATCATTATCATCATACGTCTATACATTTCGTTTGAATTTCTAAGAGTAATTATTCGATGGCATTTCAATTTCAGACAAGATAAAGTTTGGCTCTGGTGGGAAACAAAAGGTAAAGAAAATTCGAAGGGGTGAGAAAGGATATAAAACACAAGAAGCCAAAAAAGTTGCTATGAAAGTGGGAAAAGTCGCTACTAAAGTCGCTGTTAAAGCTGCTGTCAAAACTATCTGCGGTGCCGATATCGAGGAAGAATAATGTTGACATTATCTTACTAACAAATTTATCACAAATTAATGGGTTAGAATAAAATCCCGACTAAAAAGTTCAAGCTGAGTTTTTAATTTTTTCCCATTCAAATGTAGTCTAGCCGTTTGATTAATAAAAGTCATTTCAATAAAAAAAAAATATCGACTTATAATCCTTTTTTTTATACTGGATTAGCTTGTTTGATTAACATATATTTAAGATTGTGGTAGTTTCAAAAATTCGGAGTATTACCTCGCTTACGAATAAATTAGATTAAATAAACTGGTTTTGTAGGCATACTCAGTCTGTTAAAAGTAAAACCGGTAATTTCGATGACCAGATTTTAAAAAGCAAGTATCCCGACAAGTTTTTAAAAAAAACTCAAATTCGGTGGGTAATTACTTGTTAATATAATGCTTTAACAAACTTACACATTTTAGTGATGTTTTAATGAAAAAACAAAATACTTAAACAATGGGAGTAAGCTTAAAACAAACCCCAATTGTATTGTTATATATGTTTTATTTATTCTGCGTAGAAAAAAATATATCGTTTTTCACAATGTTTAATTTCGATGTAACAATGTTTCTAATTCGGCTATCAAATGATTGAGTTCAACAATTCAATTAAAAATGAAGTATATGACACAATCCAGCACACTTCCAGCAAGGATCGCAGTCGGCATCACTGTTGCAAGAAACATGTCGAAAACTCTTCGAAAATGATTTGGTAGTGTAACACCATTCACCCAGTCTGCCGCTCAGACTTGTGCCACACCATGCCCAACAATATCCTTTGTGGCAGCCCGCTTTCTCAGAACAGGCAAATGCATTTTTGGCAGCTTCTTTCGTTGCCCATGTCAAAATATTTTCATTCGCACGTCTTGTCCGATTGAGAGAAATATCGGTAAGTTCAGGTTCTTCCAATGAATCTATATGCTCGGCAATCCATTAACAAATGCAACACACAGCGAGTACAATTAAAGTTTTGAAATTCATCTTGCCTTAGAATTAAACTGACTTCATTCTCTCAAATCTACTCTTTTTATATGAACATTAAGATGTAGTTTATTCAATACATCATGTTTTATTTGCAATCAATCGAAAAGAAAAAGGGACGACAAATAACGACTATTTTTATTTCGTGTAGTAGGGAATTCCAGAAAACTATAGTACTCATCAAAAAGCGGTCAAACATTTAACGTGTTTTTGATGCATGTGCACAATAATTAAACTTGGAATTTCCATAATATCAAAGAAATAAATGAGCTTGTAATGACTTTCATCTTTCAAAGACATGGTAATTATCAGATGAAAAAAGTTAATTCGTAATATAAAGGCTGAGGCTGACTATTATATAAGAAAAATTGTAAAATTGAAGAAAATATATTTCAGACCGTACTTTAGTTAGATTCTTATAATTGTAATAATTGCTTCATTAAAAATACTAAATACATGCCAAACATTTTGCGACCCTAATGTTAATCAGTATTATTATTTTGAGCGTCGATTGATATGTTCGTCAAGCACTCCGTTGTTAATAACAACTTGTTATCCATCCTATCGTCTTCATACAAAACTGGACAGTTATCCTTATTTGTTTTTTGTGTTTGAGGCCGCAAGTTAAGTTTTGCCTGAGCGACAAAAGTGCCAGTTTTGACACCGAGTACAATATCTGTTCTACCAGTAATGTGCGAGCTACATTTTGCAGGGGGTGTTAATTTTTCGAAAACTAAAAATTCTCTAACAAATTTCGTTTTATTTTGCTCTTCACTTTTTTGGCGAAAATCCCTTCAATTTTTATCATCACAATTGAGAACAGACAATTTATATACAGTTCATGCAGCAGACGTCAGGCGCTATTGACATGAACGACAATAGAACTGATTGAAATGTGAATTTATAATTATGAAACTAACTTCTATTCTTGTCGTTCCATTTCTTGTCGTACTTTTAAGTTAAGATTTTTTCTCTATCACTCCCGTATGTAACGGCAAAAGTACTAATATTGCGAGTGAATTCTTGTCAAAGTTATGTGAATATTTGCTTAAGTTAGATAATAACTTATATATTGTCCAATCTAACAAGGATACTGGGATAAATAAAAGAGTGGAAATTATTCATAATTTAAATCTTAAAGTTACGTTAAGTTCCAAGATAAAATAGTTTTTTTTTAAATTCATAATTTCTTTGTAAAAAAAATATTGTTTTTATAGTTAAATTAACCCTTTATTTATTAAAAAAAATGAAATAGGTCTTTAAACATAGTCCCCGTTTAAAAATTAAGTATATGACACAATACAGCACACTTCCAGCAAAGATCGCCTCCGGCATCGCTGTTTCAAGTTACAAATTGAAAACTCTTCGAATATAATTTGCTCATGTAGTTTTATTCACCAAGGCCGCCATGCCCACGAATGGTCTTTGTGGCAGCCCATTTTTTCAGAACAGACAACTGCATTCTTTGCAACTTCCTTTCTTGTCCATGTCAAAATATTTCCTTCCACACTATTCGCTCGATTAAGACCATTATCGGTACGTCGTTCCAATGAATCTATCCTCGGAAATCCATAAACAACTGTAAATGAAATGCAACAAACAGCGAGTAGAATTAAAGTTTTGAAATTCATCTTGGCTTGATTAATCGGATTAAAATGACTTCAATCGCTCAATCGTATACTATTTATATGATAATCAAGATCTAGTTTATTCAATGAAATCATGTTTTATTTGTAATCAATGGAATGGAAAAAAAGGACGGCAAATATATTTGTAACACAAACATTATTATTACCTTTAGTTGATATTATTGCCGGATTTACCGGCTATTATTAATGTTTTCATTAGCCGTCATTTTTCAATCCTGTGGAATTTCCAATTAACTTGTATTTTCCACTCGGCCAACTACTCAAGCAAATTGATAAAATTGCAATAATCAGTTCAAAAAATATAACTGTAATAGTTATCAAGAAGTATTGGGTGTAGGCATTAATTCCTGCGGTCGACATTTAGATGTCGCTACTTAAAACTGTGTGAAGTTCGACAGGTGAATCCAATTGGATTTTGAACACGTGACATTTGCCAATCTAATTCAGAGCAGAAAGGGTTATTTTGCATACAGTGTCATTGTTTTTAAATCGATTAAAAATGGATCGCGATAAAATGTTTTTTCGAAGTGCCCTTCTTTTCTTATTTGATTCCAAGAAAAATGCCGCTGAAGCACATCAAACGCTTTGGGTTATTTATCGTAAAGAAGCTCCATCAGAACGAAGCTGCCAAGATTGATTTAAACGATTCAAAAGTGGTGATTTTGACTTGAAAGACAAAAAACGGCCAGGTCAGCCCAAAAAGTTCGAAGATGAGGAATTGCAGGCATTATTGGACGAAAACTCAGCCCGAACGCAAAAAGAACTTGCAATGGAGTTAAATGTCGACCAAAAAACCATTTCTAGATGTTTGCATGCAATGGGAAAGATCCGAAAGTTAGGCAAATGGGTACCACATCAACTGAATGAAAATCAACTCGCAGCATGAATCACAGCATGCAGAAATCATCTGAAAGAACACAAAAAACATAGTTTTTTGTGTCGAATTGTCACTGGTGATGAAAATTGGGTGTATTACGACAAATCCAAACGTAAAGCAGCGTATGTTGATCCAGGCCAACCAGGACCTTCGCAGTCAAAACGGGATATTCATTGCCAGAAGGTTATGTTGTGCATATGGTGGGATCAGAAGGGTGTCGTATACTATGAGCTGTTAAATCCGAATGAAACGGTTACAGAGGATCGATACCGAATGCAATTAATCAAAATGGAGCATGCATTGAAGAAAAAACGGCCACGGATAGCGTCTAAACAAGACAAAGTTGTGTTTCACGATGACAATGCTAGGCCACATCGTGCAGCCATCGTTAAAAAAAAGGTACAAGACTTCGGTTGGGAGCGGCTTGATCAACCCGCGTACTCTCCAGACCTTGCTCCTTCTGATTATCACCTATTCCGCTCGATGCAAATGGGCCTGGCCGAGATATCGTTTCGAAATCCTGAAGGAGTGCGAAAATGGATCGATGAATGGATAGCCTCAAAAGATGAGGAATTCTTTCGACGCGGAATCGACAAGCTACCAAGAAGATGGACGGAAGTCATAGCTAACGATGGGCAATACATTGGTTAATGTACTCATTCATTTTGTTTTGAAATAAATGTTTCTTTTCACCAAAAAAACCGCAGGAATTAATGCCTACACCCAATATGTAATGTTTAACATATAAATCAACAACTACAAATACTTTGAATTAAATTGAAATACAATCGCTCGAGAGGGTATGAATACAAAAAGCGTCACATCTCATCTACTAATGTTGCGAGAGAATTGTTATAAGAATATTTGCTTATCTCATGTGAGATCTATACTCGAATGAATGAAAGAGCAGAAATTATTCATATTACACAGAAAGAAAAAATGTGGTATTTTTAATTCAATTTTGGTAGATTTAATATAAAATCAACCAACAACGAATTAAATTTACCATTTTTGACATCTCTGAGGCATATTTCTCAAAAGAGACTATCAGTTTAATAAGTTTTACCAATTGCTTCATTACATTTACCAAATTCATGGGCTAGCGTCATCTGTGGTTTCGAAAAGTTGGTAAATGTAATGAAGCAGTTGGTAAAACTTATTCAACAAATAGTCACTTTTGAAAAATATGCCTCAGAGATGTCAAAAATGGTAAATTTAATTCGTTGTTGGTTAATTTTATATTAAATCTACCAAAATTGAATTAAAAATACCACATTTTTTCTTTCTGTGTATTTTTGCTGAAAAAAGAAAATGAAAAAATAAGTGAAGAAAACTTCTTATTCTGATACAAATTTAACGTGATTTTATTTATAAAATGCTAACGATTTCGGAAACAATGTTTCCATCATCAGGCGAGCTATAAAACTGAAATCTTAACAAAAATTATGTCATATGTTTACTACAATTAGAAAATTGTTTAAAATATGAACCAAATTTGAAAAGAGAAAAATAATCATGTAAAACAATATTAAGTAATGGTATTTAAAGTGAAAGAGAT